CCATACGAAAGCCAGCAGTAGGTATTAAGCTGCTATATGACGCTGGTATACTGTGAGAGCGTGGTCCTACCCCGGTTGAGCCGACCCATTCGTTCGACAACATTAATATAATATCTAGCTGCAGCGTGTCTCTACCATGTAAATCCTTCCTAGTAAGTTGTTTTAATTTATCGAAAAAATTATATCAAAATTAATTAAAGGGATCGCAATATAGAACGCAACGTACAATGTAGCAATCGCCCACAATTTCACGGTATTGGAGTTAATAGCATTTAAATTTGTTAGTGGCAATTTTAAGTGCTGATTGACCAATGAAATTAAGAAAAGAAAAAGTTTCCAAGTTCTTTTTTCATCAATTAAGTATATATTATTTTAAACGGGAATGTTTCAAATAATTTTCAAATTGAATGGAGTTAGTTTTGTCTAACTTTTCTAAGCCAATTCAAAAGTTTGATGTCGCTTTAGTTTATTTCGTATTTCGTAGAATAATTAGTTAAGTGTGGTGTTACTAGCCAGTAAATATTTAGTTTATGGTGATTTATTAGAGTCGTTTATCGTTTTACTTAATGAAGATGTTTTACGAATAATGATGGGTTGCTGAAAACGGTGTGTTCTAAGATGCCTCCATAATCATCTAAAATTGAATGCCCAAGTTTATTTCTGTGTATCTAATCACTGTCAATAATATATTTAAATCTCTATGAAAATAATTGTTTTATTTCTTTAAAACCATTAACCGTGTTCCATTTCAATTTTCTACTTATGTATCAATCCATAGCTAATTGTTAACTGTAATCTTACTCTTAAGGTTTGTGTTATTAATGTAAAAAAATCCAATACGTACGTATTATATTAATTTATTACTCTTTCCATTCCAATTTTTTACGAATGTAGAATGTAATTTCTACATTCGTAGAAAATTGGAATGGAAATAGTAATATAAGTTTAAAATATAGAATATTGAATGTGAGCGTGGGCAATGAACTTTATACATATACACACGCACACATTCACAGAGTACTCTCGTGTGAGTGAATTGGAATATACACACGCACATGTGAATATTATAGTTAGCGTAACAATCATCAGGTGGCGCTTTTTCCAAGGAGCACCAGTTTTACTCTCAAGAGGGCTCTCTTCTTCCTTATATATTACTATACTCTTTGACGCAGTCGCTTCTGAGTTACGTTACGAGAGTGACGTCTTTATTTGGTGTGACGCGCTGTTTGGTTTTTTGAGAGTAGTGTTCGATAGGTTTCGATCATTGATACAAATGAGATAAATATTTATTGCAATGTTAATAACAGCTGGTAAGACTTGATTGTGATTTTTTTTATTATTATCTGTATGCATAAGTATATACGTAAACACTCACGCCTGTCACCCAGAGGGTTAGGCAGAGACAATGGACATCCATTTGGCACGATCCTGACCCACCTCTCTCGCCTCCTTTAGATCCATATATCTACACAAATATGTTCGTCGGTTAAGGGTACTCTTATATATCGCCAATTTGGTCGATTAACTTTCGTCTAGGGCGTCCCTCGCCGACTGCAATTATCTATTTAGGTCATTAAATTGTAAATTATTTGTAAAATTTGGAATAAACGATTAAATTAGGCATTTTTAGAGTATATATATATATATATATATATATATATATATATATATATATATGTCTGTTTGTCATATTTATGTATGTGGAGCATCGATGTCATCGTTAGTTTCGATCTGTTAACAGTAAATATTAACCAGCATGTGGTTTGTTTACTTAGTTGGGCCAAGCTGCAACTATATTATGACCATGATTCGGCTCGACTGGAGAACGTCAGCGTCAAATTTCACTATTATACTTAGTGCTGCTGTTTTTGTATGGTAAGTCTCGAGTACCGGAAACTTTTTCTTGGTAACAAGTCATTTTATCTTAGTCCCGGGGTACTAAGGGGGAGAGGGGGGGACAATGCACCGGCATTTTGATGATGAAGGTGATTCTGTGCCACAGCGTCCACTTATTGTAAGGTGGACTATGTGTCTGTATTTTGATTCCTACACTGATAATGTAGGGTCGGGTCACAATATCCTCATAATCGTACTTAGTGGAGCCATGCTGCAGCTATATTATGGTTGTAGCACGAATGGGTCGGCCCGACAGGGGAAGGATAGCAGCAGCATAAATAGAAGCTTGATTCTGCCGTGTTTCTTATGATGAGTGTTAAGAACCGAAGACCCTTTTTGCTGGAAACTAAACGTTCTGTCTTGTACTCAGAGGGTGACAACACATCTGCATTATGATTTTAGAATAATCAAGGACAGATTTAGATGTCTTTGGATCACAGCATCCATTTAATGGACTGTATGGTCGCGTGTTACTCTTATTTTATAAAAAAAAAAACACCACGCTCTTACAGAATACCAGCAGCAAATATAACTGCTGCTACATAGTGCTGCTGTTTTTGTATAGTTACTCTCAAGAATTGGAGACTTCATTGGTTAGGAGGCCTACCATCTTAGTCTTTAGTGGTAACAATGCATACACTACATTTCATGTGCATTTTGATGACAGTGTCGTCGATTGTCGCCCTTATTCTTTAAAAAAGACCACGCTCTCACAGAATACTAGCGTAAAATGGCAGCTTAACACTGCTGTGTTTCGTATGCTGAGTGTAGAGAACCGGAGACCCATTTTACTGGAAAAGAGGCATTCCATCTTAGTCCTCATGATGACGACTCATCTGCGTTTTGATCATTTATTGAGGATAAATGTAGATGTCTATGGGTCACAGTAACTACTTACCATCAGGTGGACTGTGTGCTCGTTTCTCACCCTATCCTATAAAAAAAAGATTACCAGCATTAAATATCACCATAATGCCGTTTTGTTTTGTATCAAAATGCGTCTGCATTTTAATTTTTAACCGAGGATAAATGTAGGTGACTACGAACCATAGCATTTATTTACATATATAAAACGATAATTCTTTAACTAAGTATGATGTAGGTACATTTTTGAGCCACAACCTCCACAATCAACAGGTGGAATTTGTGCTCTGTAGTTACCCTCGCTTGTATGAAAAGGCAATTTGCATAAATAAATTGATATACATATTTTAACGCATCACATGTAAACTGCTTATATGCCTACTACCATCAATGTGACTCGTCCTCCGTCGGGCTTAGAGCGTGTTTAGTTGATTAGTATCGAATCTGTTTTATTTTGCTAGATTCTATTGAATTCTATTGAATTCTATTGATTCTATTGAATTAGATTATTAAAAAGTGTTTCCGCAAAATAACTTACTAATTAGGGCATCGGCGACTTTTTCTGCCACCAGGGCGGCGTCACTAGAAAGTGAGGTATACTATTTGACAGATTTCATAGCGTGGATGTTAATTTGTTCGGAAACTATGAAAGTGCTTGTTTCTTTCTGTACTATTAGCTATATTTTATATTAATAAAATTAAAAATAAATAAACAAAACCACAGATATTCATAAAAGTAGCAACATAAAAAAAATTTAATAAGGTGCAAAAAATTAAAAAGCAAACCACTGACGCATTGTTTTGTGTATTAATATAATACTCTAAAAACCGATAAACTTTTATTAAAAAAAAAACTCAATTAAATTACATTGTGTAACAAAAAACATTAACTCAGTGTCAAATAGCGACATCTGGTGAGCAGAAAATTATTAGCTCTCATTAACAAAATCAAGATGTAATAACCTCTTTTGACCTACTTTTGTTTATGAGACGTCAGTTGTAATTTTAATTACTGCGCTAGTCATCTGCCCTGATTAATCATTAATGACCATTTATTTTATAAATTTTTCCATTTCACAAAAATAAAACTCGCAAGTTTTCCAGATAAAATATAGCTTAGCTCAATCGGTTCAGTCATTTCGAAGATCATGCCGAACAGACACAAAAATTAACAAATTATTATTCATGTCTTTATGAATGCAAATAACTTTCTGAGCTCGGTAAAAGGCTTCGATCACTAAAAAAGATAGTGATCGAAGAACAGACACATTTCAATTTTATTTATAGGTATGCATAGATTTATCATGTGCTCTGCAGTGAACAAAAACATCCTCTATGATTAGAAATTAAAAGAAAATTTGAAGACTTACATGCTAAACAAAACCTCCTGAAATAGGAATAAGCTTATGTCCAGTAGTGGGACCTATAAAGACTTTAGTTTTTACTTTATTAACAATTAGTTTATTTAAGTAATTATCCTCATAGATTGCATAGAAGGGATATCTGCCACAGTTTGCAACCCATAGTGGGTTGCGAACGGGTGGGTTCGCAATTTTTTATCATTTTAACTTGTTATCGGGAAGACGGTGCCCACCTTCTATTTTATTTTCCTTTACGCCTCTTACGACATCCACGGGATGCCACTACAATGCGACATAGGTGCTATCACTAGCACTACAACCCATCACAAATGCACTGCTGAACATAGACTTCCTTTATAGATAGCCATAAAGTACGGTTCCGAACCACCTGCATCCAAAGACTTCTTGCGTGTTCCATCCGGTCGTCACTCCATCTAATATCGACAGCGATAGGTAGTCTTACTTGGTAGAGCCTTGCTGCATTTTACGTGGTGGAGCCATGCTGCAGCTATGTTATGGTTGTAGCACGAATATGTCGACTCGATCAGGGAAGGACCACGTTCTCACAGAATATCGGCATAAAATAGCAACTCAATGCTGTTGTGTTTCGTATGGTGAGTGTAGAGAACCGGAGACCCTTTTTACTTGCAACCTGGCATTGCATCTTAATCCTCAGGGGTGGCAACGTATCTGGACTTTTTATTCTTAATCGAGGATTGATCTAGATGTCTATGGGGCACATCATCCACTTACCCTCAGTTTGATTGTGTGCTCGTTTGTCAACTTTAATTCATAAAAAGAAATAGGTGTACAGCTAGAAAGTCCCTAATATTTAAAAGTGACTCAAATTGTATTAAAATGTTTTCTTGACAATGTCAGGTCACCGGCGTGGGAACCGGTTGCGACGCGTCGCCGGGAAACTGTGCAACTTGGAGTCATGGAAGAGACGGCTTCCGATCACAATCTGGCTGCCCAATTACAGCTTGGAATGCTTATTTCGGGATGCCATCGCTGGTAAGATAATACGTATATATGTTGTTAATTAGTTCCATGGTGGTCTAGAACTACTTATGGCCCGCCTATATACGAGTATATGCCTTGCGGAGGCAAAGCGGGTATGCGTTGGCATTTTCCCATGAAAAAAGTACTCCTTATATTTTTTTTATGTGACACAAACGAGCACACAGTCCACCTGATGGTAAGTGGATGCTGTGACCCCTATTTACATTTATCCTCAATTAACCGGTTCAGTGCGGGTGACACGCCGTGCCATCGATTACTTATGTGTGTGGCGTATGACACGCGAGTCGTGTCTTTTTAAAAATCGTTATAACTCGCTCAAATTGCTTTTTTGGAAAATTTATCCATAACAAAATATTCATTATTTTGCGAGTAGTTCATGCATGCAGCTTCGTTTCTGGATATTTTGAAAATTTGAAACTTATAGGGGTTGACAACCTTTTTTTAACGTGTACATGGTACTATTTTTACTTTGTGGAAAATTATGTTATGGAAAAATTGTCTAATAAGTAACAAATAATAGCACTCATTGCGATCGCTCACAAACTCAAGTTGTAAATAAATTTCTGGAAAACAAAAACAATGCGTTTATCTTATTGTTTAATTTTGCTTAAAATGGTTGAACTGCCGTCTTATTACTATCATATGGCCGAATAGACCTACGAAGTACCATGTGCGCTTGTGATATGGTATAAGGTTTATTTTGGCTTGAAACAGTTCGAAACCGTTCATGCATAAAAAAAGTTCACTAATAAATAGTCTTTTGTCAATCCGCCGCCGTATAGCGCCGGCGTTTTTTTCCTTTTGAAAACACTTGTTTTGCTATTCTTACTAATTAGACGTTTTCGGATCGACTTTACTTTTACATTTGTATAACATTAAATAATATTTAACATTTGTAAATACCTTTTTTTTTCAAATTAAGGTTCTTCATTGTTTGATATTTACAAATGTTATTATTAGGTGAAAATTTAATTTAATAAAAACCAAGGTTTCCAGGGTGATTTAGCTGTACCTACTTATATAAATGTTTTTTTTTATAACAACAAAAAATAGTACAAAAGGTTTGTAATCTCTTCATAAAAAAAGCACTTTCTCTCCATTTCAAAGAAAACGCGTAAAAAAACACGTAGTTATCCACTAAAAACAAGTATCCTTCCATTTGTAACTTATGTTTGATGTGAAATAAACTTAATTAGGTCTAAACAAGTAAAAAAAGCATAAAGAAGAACATTACTTTTACACATGGCGGATGGCGCTTGACACGCCCGGCGTGTCATTAAATATTTGTTCGCCGCCAGCTAAAAGTTATCGAAAATTGGTGCCGCAACGAATCGGTTAAGAATCAAAATGCAGATGCGTTGCTAACACCGAGGACTAAGATGGAATGCCTCATTTCCAGTAAAAACAGTCTCTGGTTCTCTACAGTCATCATATGAAACACAGCAGCACTAAGCTGCTATTTTACGCTGGTATTCTGAGAGAGCGTGGTTCTACCCCCGGGTGTGCCGGGCCATTCGTGCTACAAATGTTGCAAATGTCCATTGGCTGCAGCGGCAGCTTTGCACTTACCATCACATGGATTGTAAATTCGTTTGTCATTTCAATGTAATAAAAAAATGAACAATTGCATCGGTGCCGGCGGGAATCGAACCCAGGTTGCTCGCGTACAGTAAATTTACGACAAGGGCTTGGCCTAAGAACTGCAACGGCAATATTTTACATCGGTCCAACATGCCATTCCATAAGAGTGAAAGCTAGTGGCGAGGTATTTAAAACCACTTTCATTTCAATAATGTAAATGGACGAACGAAAGTTGATGCTTGCTTTTATGAATACATTGATTGATTTTAGCTGTTTTTATTAATCCTTTTCTTCTTATATCTATACTAGAAAAAAAAAATAACCGAGCAAACAAGGATAAAATACTGATTAACTGCAGAGTCCCGTTTAGTGGCGGGTAAGAATACCCACTACCCATATCTTCCCGTGGGTGTCGTAGGAGGCGACAGAGGAAAACTGAGGCAGAAGATGGACAGCAGCATCTTTCTGCAAAACAAAAAACTGCGGTTGCCAACCCGCTCGCCAAGCGTGGCAACTATAACAATAAATAAAGTTACGAAGAGACGGCCCCCAGTCCCCGGCGGCCCCGCTATTCCTGGCTACGGTGGAGACCATGGTAACGGCGGGGTAGGGGTGCTAAGAATCTCCGGTGGAGGTTCGGTTGCCACCTAAGACGACTCGACCTGGCAACATATAACGCACGCACCCTGAGGACTGACGAGAAGATCCTGGAGCTGGAAAAAGAGATATGGCTGGAATATTATAGGATTATCAGAAGTCGGAAGAGGGGAGGGCATGATAATCCTCGAATACGGCAACTTGTTCTATCACCGGTAGGAGTGACCATCTATCCCAAGGAGGTGTCGGATTTTAAGTCCGAGGAGTACAACTTGCCCCTATGTCTGGCGTATGTGGATTATGAGAAAGCCTTTGATTCCGTCGAAATTTGGGCGGTGTTGTAGTCCCTTCAGTACTGCCAAGTTGACTGTCGGTATATCGAAGTGCTGAAGTGTTTGTACAGTTGAGCTACGATGGCTATCCGAGTACAGAACCAGAGTACGAAACTTATCCAATTGCAGAGAGTTGTAAGATAGGGTGACATAAAATCCTCGAAACTTCACCGCTTCATTGAAATACCTTTTCAAGCTACTGGACTGAAAAGGATACGGTGTATTGTTAATACCGTATCTCGCCGTTGATGTCAACGGCGAGTACGTCACTCACCTTCGATTTGCCGACGATATAGATATAGAATCGCTGGAGGACCTAAGCACTATGCTCAATGACCTCAATAGTGCCTCCCAACATCTTAAGATGAACATGGACAAAACAAAGATCATGTATAACGTCCATGTCACACCTATGCCAGTAGTTGTTGGGAGCACTAAGCTGGAAGTTGTTGACGAGTATGTTTACCTGGGACAAATAGTCCGACTAGGTAAGTCCAACTTCGACCGAAAGGTCAATCGACGGATTCAACTCGGCTGGGCAGCGTTCGGGAAATTACGACACATCTTCTCGTAAGGTATACCTCAAAACTTACTGTACAAACCTCGAGACTGTACAAACAGTGCGTGTATTGCCAGTGATGACAATGGAACTGAGACGTGGTCCTTAACTGCTGGTCGTATGAGGAAGCTCGAGGTCGCCTCAGCGGGCTATGAAGAGAGCTATGCTCGGAGTTTCTCTGCGTGATAAACTTAGAAATGAGGATATCCGCAGTAGAACTAGAGTAACCGACATAGCCCAACGGATTAGTAAGCTGAAGTGGCAGTGGGCCGGCCATATAGCTCGAAGAACCGACAACCGATGGGGAAGAGAGGTTCTCGAGTGGCAGCCTCGTACCGGTAGGCGAAGTGTAGGGCGACCCCCCACGAGATGGAGTGACGACCTGGTAAGGTATTCAGGAAGTCGATGGATGCAGGTGGCTCAGGACCGTGCTTTGTGGCATTGCTTGGGGGAGGCCTATGTTCAGCAGTGGACTTATGAAAGGCTGTAATGATAATGATGAAATTTATATAGGTAAATAATAAGTGTTTTGTATAAGCAAAACTGTCTAATAGTTGTACAGTATACATGAATAATTCTAGAGAAATTAACGGTATTTTCTTTTTTGTACCCAAGAGATCAAGTGAACTAAGTACCTTTTTACGTATTACGAGTATATACAATAAAACTAGGTAATGACATTGATAGGTAAGTGAGAATGTGTTAGACAGGTACGTCGCCGAGTGATGAAGTCGGTCTCATCTACTTGAAACGTTAGTCAGTTTAACCTTGACAGTGCCGCAGATGGCAGGATATCTTACGTAATAAGGTTAAATGTGTGACTTTATCCACCCACTTTAGTATAGAGGTAGGTTGCTTCCTGGGGAAGGATATAAGCTACTTTTTGCGAGTTGCGACCCTAGGGGTAAATACCACTGCATTATGGTTGGAATACAATCGCCAGACATTGGTGGGGATGGTGGGATTGGTGTTGGTGGAAGTGGTGCAGGTGTTGGTGGAAGTGGTGCAGGTGTTGGTGGATAGTGTAGCTGATGGTGTCAGTAGTGGTGGAGGTGGTAGTATCGTAGGTAGTGGTAGTAGGCAGTGGACCAACAGTGGCTCCATCACCACCGCCATTTTTTCCTTAAATTTTTCACATGCATTATGTGACAACCCTATCAGAATAGGTATACATTTTCGACGTTGTTAAGAAGCTTCCCCTCTGGTCCTTACTCTTTACTCCGTGCCGTGAGCACCTGTGAAAGCCGCGAACCGCGAATGTGGATGGCTTTCGCGCCCGTTCACGGGCTTCGCGTCTTTTCACGCCTTGTTCCCCGTTCAGTGTCGGTATTTTGCGCCCGCGTCAAAGGCGCGAACCTCCCGCGAACGCAAGCGCATCCACACCACACTCGCGCGTGAAATCAGTAACGCATGAGGCTCGGTGCCGTGAGGTTGTGCTTATTTGTATTTGTTTACGGAGGACGGTGCGTCAAAATGAGCGTCAGTTGGACGAACGAGCAAGAACTCATGTTGATCGAGTGTTATCATGCCGTACCCATTTTATGGGATGCTAAACACAAAAATCATAAAAATAAAATGAAAGTACATGAGTTTTGAAGTTACTGATTAAAAAAAAGAAGAAAATCTAATGTCCAGTTATAGGAAAAAGGTGAAGGATTCTGTAAAGAAGTCTGAGGCAAGCAGCGACGAAATTTACAAGCCCATTTGGGTTTGCCTTTGACGTGATCGATGCTTTACTAAGAGAAGGCGATAATTGTAAAAAAACTACAAATGCGGTTAGTATGTTTTATTTGCAATTTATTATTGATGTCAACATGTAAAGATTAAGATTAAACACTGCGGGCGAGAGAATTGAAAAATAGGTATTTGTAAAATGTATCGTTGTTGCGCAGTGCCCGAAAACCGCGCGCAGACCGCGAAAGAGACGACTGCAGCTTGGACCGAAATTACCAATTAAAAATACACAAAATCAACGTTACGTAGTCCTCTGATTACTTCTCCGAAACTTGACCGATTTAACTACTTTTTTCATTAAATATTAAAGAAAGGTTTTGGCCATGTTTTTCTTTTTTTTATATAATCTAATCAAAGTTTTCTGGATGTTTGAACACAGCCAAAAATCTGGCCTATTTTTTAGGTTTTTGAAGGTTCAATTCTCTTTTAATAATTAATTTATGAAAATAAGGAAAACATAGGGACGTGCCAATAGTGGCCATATATTTTTTGGAAAAAAAATATTGCTCTACTGGCACTATCCAGGTCGGAAACAGGGGACTACGTTTGTATGGAAAAACGGCCGTGGTGTTTCCTCTTCAGGTAGTTTTTGTTGTTGGCTTAGTGCATTCTTCTCTTATTTCTCACGCATTCTAAGCCGGTCGACGAGGTACGTGTGGCAAATCACGAACAGCAGAATTGCTTTCCAATTCATGTCTCCACGTACCGGGGTGTGTGAGTATGTCATTTTTAACATACATGTCGATGGTCCCGGGCGGTGTATATATGGGTCGGTAACGAAGTATTGCTTCTTCTGAGATAATTGTGTAACAATATACAAATCATTGTAATAAGAGAAATCTTTTCTGGGCATAGCTGAAACGGTTTTTTAAACACACGAAATTTCATCACAAGTATTCCTAATGTATTCTCTACAACTACACATGCTCGTGACAATGCCTGGTTAAATATACGTTTTGGAGAACCATATTCATGTTTCCCTGGATAAGGTTTCATCACATGATCAGTAAGTGCATAAGCACCGTCTCCCAAAAATACGTACGGTACATCAACATTCGAGCCTGGGAGAGGGCTTGGCTCAGGAATATTTAAAGCATTTGTGCAAATTTTGTGCCATAGCAAGTTATTCCGAAATACTCCGCCATCACTTATCCTGCCTTGAGAACCAATATCTGCAAAAATAAAATTGTAACTGCTGTGCACCAATGCTAGCAACACTATGCTGAATGTTTTTTTTTGTAGTTATAATATATCCTGAATTAATTGGACATTCTAAAGTGATGTGCTTTCCGTCTATGGATCCAATAACACGAGGATATTCTTCCGCGGTCGATGGAATCTGTAAAATAAAAAATAAATAAATGTTATAATTGTTTTTTTACTTTTATTTTCAGGAGGAAGAATCAGTTGTTGACAATAAAGAGGTCAAAGATGATGTTTATGACTTATATGGTAAAATGTTATCCAAAAAAATTAAGACATTACCTGAAGATGACAGATTACCTTTCATGTATGAAATAGACGGCATATTCCTACGCCACCAACAAAATACTCGACATCGATACAACAGATTTTCAAATAGCCCAGCTCAGTCTACATCAACTGCGTATGGGAGACCTAGCACATCACGCTCAACGTATTCCGTACACCAATCTCCGCCTCCATCTACTGAGACCTAGCACATCTCATTCAATTTATTCCGAACATACAATGAATAATTTGCCATCTCCAGTCACTCACAATTCTGTCTATAATACATACACTGGTTCGAGAGTTATGGTAACATCGAATGGAGTTGTAGAACCTCAAGTCATTCACATTCCTGAAAATAGCAGAAACACTGGTTCGAGATTTATGGTAACATCCAATGACGTAGAACGTCTAGTCACTCATTATATAGCAAACACAGACTCCATATGAAGTGACAGAAGATTTACAGACTGAATTTGGAAATGTCATTAATAAAGCATTTCATATTGCCAACTGTAAGCTAAAACTTGCTACATTTCTGGTATTCTGATTTTTTTTTAATTAGGATTGATCTCAGAATAAGTACAGACATGTGCATGTCAAGCTTTACTCTTTCAGTTCTATTCTAAGTATTATTACGTATGGCCTAAGAAAACGGTACAAATTTCAAAGTGTAAAAGCTTGCCGTGCTCTTGTCATAATCAAGATAAAGATGATTCTCTTTTGATATTTAGTTATTGGCGGTGCTACTTTTAAGTTAATTCATTTATAATACTGAGTGATTATTTCAATTTTGAATAAATATACACGATTTTAAGTAAAATTTTATTTTATTACCTCCGAAATTATCTGAGGTGAAATTTTGAATAAGAAATGCAAGCTTTCGTAATTATCTCCAGAAGCCAAGAATCTTAAAGTGACAGCGAGACGCACTCGAGCTGGAATTGCTTTTCGCAGTTTTTAGGGTTCCGTACCTCAATAGGAAAAAACGGAACCCTTATAGGATCACTTTGTTGTCCGTCTGTCTGTTTGTCTGTCTGTTAAGATCACAGAATATCAGTGTAAAAATGCTGCTTACTGCTGCTGTTTTTCTTAAGAAGAGTGTAGAGATCCGAAAATCCTTTTAACTTTATACTTGATTGTTTCATGCTGCAGCTATATTATAATTGTAGCATGAATGGGTCGGCTTGACCGAGGAAGGACACACAGACACGGAATGTTTGCATAAAATACCAGCTTAATGGTAAGCAGCTATTAAAGCCCTTTTTTCTGGAAACGAAGCATTCAATCTTAATCCTTACGAGTAACAACGTAAGTCCTAAATAGTGACAACGCATCTACATTTTCTCAATCGAGGGTAGATGTAGGTGTTTATGAGCCACATCATCCACTTACCATCGGGTGGACTGTGTGTTCGTATGTCTCCCTTATTCTATACATATGTATATTTAAAAGCTTTTATTAGACTGACAGCTATGAAACATCTTTGATTAAAATATGTTTATAATTCATAACTAACTTCTTATAGCCGTATTTACTTTGTTAATTTAGAGCCAGAAAAAAGTTGTAATTACAAAGTATTTTGTTCGATCTTTTAAGGTATAACCGTCGGCCTCACTTCCATACCGCAAGGAATAGCTTACGCCATGGTCGCTGGCTTACCGCCACAGGTATGTGAAATGTAGTATGCCTTGTCAAAATCTCTTTAAACCTCGTTATCATCGTCATCGTCATTTTAATCACCACCACCACCACCACCACCACCATCACCATCATCATCATCAACATCATCATCCTATGAAAAGTTCACTGCTGAACATAGACCTTTCCCTTAGATATCGATACCCATATAGGCGCGGATTTAGACGCACGCTACACGGCGCTGCGCTCAAGACTTTGTATTTTCCATATTTTTCATATCAGTATAAAATTTGTATATACGCATATAGGTACTGCTACTATTATATACAGTGTATACACATATTAGTATAAACGCAGTACTAACAATCGTAGTACCAGAACAGAGCGGTCTTATTTATTTCTTCTAGACAACAATATTTTTTCGATTCTATAACAATAGTAAACCTACATTAGTTCAGGAGGAATCAGCGCATGTGTACCGAAAACTATTCCATCTCAATTTTTTATGCGGTTCTTTTCAAATTGTCCTACTGATAATGTAAATGCATATTGTTTAAATGTTTTTTTTTTCAAAAGCAAGAAATTGTTATTTTAAAACGGCACAGTTTTTTATATTTTTTTGATGAAATACAAATAAAAATGATCCTATGACTTTTTACGATAAAGTTAATGTTTTTCGAGTTTTTAAGATAATTTTTTAATGTTTAACAAGTCCCACGATTCGGATATTTTTGACTCATTAAAAATACATGAAGAAAAATAATAAAATATAAAAGATGTATTTTTTATATTCTATAATGAAATAGGAATAAAAAGTTTCTATGACTTTTTATGATAACGTTAATATTTTCAATTATGAATTTGTAAGTATTTGAAAAATCCCAAATTCGGATACTTTTGACTCATTAAAAATATATAAAGAAATGGAATAAGATTTAAAAGATTTTTTTTTATAATATTCTTTGATGAAATACGAATAAAAAGGTCATAATATAACTTTTTACGATAAAGTTAATATTTTCGGAGTTATGATTTTTTTTAAACCTTAAAAAATTGATAGCAAGATTAGGTTATTTTAGTTAATTTCATAGCCTAATGTCTAATGGAAGTTTTCTGTGTGGAGTAATGCTACTGACATTGAAGCTATATATGTTTTGCAAAAGAGTCTTAGAAAAAATTTAAAGGACTAAACATGTTAACTTTGGCATCGAAATATATTTATGAAAATGTAATGTAGGTATGTAACTTAAAAACATAAATGGCTTTGATTAGAATAAAGATGTTCATACTATAAACACTAGGAACAAACATAAGCTTGTAATACCAGTTACTAGACTCCACAGAATTAGTAATTCATTTATGGGGCAATAATGTATACACTTTTACAACAAAATCCCAGAAAATGTACAAAATTTGTCAATAAACAAGTTTATATGTTTTATTAACGAAAATTTGTACAAAAAGGTTTATTATAATATCAAAGAATACATTAAATGAAAATAACCCCTGGGAATGAGTTGGTTCTATTAAAATTCATTTACAAATTGTACAAACAAAATTATTGTAAAGTGAAATATGCAATATGTTTAAAAGTCCCGCTGGTTTTCTTGCTGGTTCGTCCCAGGACAGAGGTATTTTCCGAACCAGTGGTAAATAAAAAAAATACTTTCAAAAAGTATTATGTAATAATATTGAATAAAAATAATTTTATTATAGGTATTAGAATAGAATAGAATGATTTTCATTCAATATTGATTATTACATAATACTTAGAGAGTCATTTTTTATTTACCACTGGTTCGGAAAATACCTCTGTCCTAGGAAGAACCAGCAAGAAACCCAGCGGGACTTTTTTTTAAACATAATTTCACTTAACAATAATTTTGTTTATACAATTTTAAATGAATTTTTATAGACCCAGCATGGTGACGATCACCTTATTCCCAGGGGTTATTTTCATTCATGTAAAAGTAAAAGTAAAGTTACAGCCTATTTACGTCCCACTGCTGGGCACAGGCCTCCTCTCATTTCTGAGAGGGTTTTAGGGCAAGGAAATGTCCGCCGCGCTGCCCCAATGCGTGTTGGCGAACTTCACATGTCTTCGAAATATTTATTTTTCTTATTTCTCAGGCATGCAGGTTTCCTCACGATGTTTTCCTTCACCGCCGAGCACGTGGTAAATCAGCACTTAAAATTGCAACTAACAATTTCATTGGTGCCGGTGGGGATCGAACCCGGGTTGCTCGAGTACTGTGAAGCTTACAGCGAGCGCTAACCATCTGAGCTACCACGGCTCCTTTCATTCATGTATTCCTTGATATTATAATAACCCTTTTTGTACAGTTTTTCTTTAATAAAACTTTTAAATTTGTTTATTGACAAACTTTGAACATGTTCTGGGATTTTATTGTAAAAGCGTATACATGCCCCATAAATGAATTACTAGTTCTGTGGAGTCTAGTAACTGGCATTTCAAGCTTATGTTTGTTCCTAGTGTTTAAGATATGAACATCCTTATTCTTATTAAAGCTATTTATGTTTAAGCTATGTATGTACATACATTAAATTTTTCTCTGAGGGACTTTACAATTTAGGTTATAATTCGCCCGTACGGCTCTCTTTTGCAAAACAAATATGGCTTCAATATCAGTTGCATTACCCCATAGCAAAATTCCAACAAATAAGACATTACGCTATGAAAGGAACTAAAATACACTAACCTAGCTACCTCAACATCTGTGACACTTCTAATCTTTCTTACAGCATAATATGCTGCAGAACTAGGTTTGCTTGCTAATTTAGATAATGGGGGCCCCATTGAAGTTTCGCGTCAATAGTAATACTAAGAAAAACAGTGGTATCCAGAAGACTCAACTCCTCCCCATTTAAGAGCACAGTATTCTATTCTATCATAATGAATATTCCTACCAGAGCTACGGAATCGGACTGCTATTTGAGAAGCAAGTATTTTGAGTATGCAATCGCTGATTTGTATTGAGACAATGAAAGGGCTTTTCACAAAATCCAATAAATATCTCCATTCACCCACCTAAAATATATGTATATACATGTGTATTTGAACTTTATTTAGTAGTTCATTTCTACTCCTTTTATTCCAGGTGGGTCTATATTCCAGTATATTCCCGGGCTTCGTGTACGTGTTCCTCGGCAGCTGTAAAGATGTGACGGTCGGTCCCACGGCCATATTAGCGGCGCTGCTAGCCAAGTACGTGGCCTACTCACAAGACTTCGCTTATCTCGCGTCTTTCCTTTCCGGATGTATTATACTGTTGCTTGGTGTTTTGCAGTTAGGTGAGTCCAGTTGTGTGGCCTTAAAGTAACCGATTGTATTAATATCTTCTTCAAATATATTTTTTTTGGATAGAAAAATATTTTTATTTTTTTATTATTTGTTCCATTTTCGCTCATAGTCCTTAAAGTAGTTACTAGCCTAAAGTTTTTAGAATCTCATTTTTTATCAGATTAACAATTTACTAGACTCAAATAAATAAAAAAACTATCTTTATTTTTTTATTCATAACATTCTGATCTTTTTTTACTTATTATAAGCCAGTGCTTGACCACAATCCCACCTGGTGGTAAGTGGTGATGTAATCTTAGACAGTAAATCGCACTGTCTTAGGGTGACAGAAGCTTATTCACTCTTATTCAGAACATTCCGCTCTTAGAAGTGAGGGACGCCGCCCGCAATATGAATACGATTCGGCAATATGAGACGGACGCTCGGTACTCGGTAGTCCGCCGCGACTAAGTGAGAGCGTGTAACGTAGTGTATAACTGTAATCTATATCTATATATCTATACAAATAAATAAAATTGAAGTGTAATTTGTAATGCTTAAATTACAGCTTTTTACTAATTGCATATGAAAGTATATACGGTACTTATAACAAAACACGATTTTTAACATTATTGTCTGTCTGTCTGTCTGTCTGTCTGTTCCGGCTAATCTCCAAAACTGCTGGACCGATTTTGACAGGACTTTCACTGGTAGATAGCTCATGTTATAAGGAGTAACTTAGGCTTTTTTTTATAGGATAAGGGTGACAAACGAGCACACAGTCCCCCTGATGGTAAGTGGTTGCTGCGGCCCATAGACATCTACATCTATCCTCTATTACAAATCAAAATGTAGATGCGTTGTCACCCGTGAGGACTAAGATGGAATGCCTCATTTCCAGTAAAAAGGGCCTCCGGCCACCTGCACTCACCAAGCGAAACGCAGAGGTAAACATCTACTTCACGCTGGTTTTCTCTGAGGTCGTGGTACCATCCCGGTTCGAGCCGGCCCATCCGTGCGACAGCAAAAGCTGCCGCGTGGCTCTACCACTGTTAATATTTTTTTTATATATTTAGGGTTCCGCGCAACAAAATTAAAACCCTAAATAACACGCGGACGAAGTCGCGGGGTACAGCTAGCTAGTCATAAATATTGTAAACGGCTGCAAAAGCAATTCCTGAAGGTAGGTTCCTTAGGTTTTTTATTAATTAATTCATAAATATAAGTTTCAACCATATTGCCAAACGATAAACGATACTTAAAATATCGTTCAAAATGCCAGAAATATTAAAAAAAAATTACACAACATAAGGAGTGTGAATTAATGAATAAGTTTTGTTAGTTAATTTTAATTAGATAATAGTAAATAAACACTTGTTAAACGAAATTATCTTTCATTTCAAATAAGCAAGACTTAAATAGAACACTATTTTACCTAATGATAAAACTTTTCACCAAGTTAGACTATTTGCACTGGTAACTTGCAGCACAACGCTCACAATATTTTCCTCTATCGCACATGTGCAAATCTTACCGTGTCTCATACCGAGTCTCGCACATAAAGATCACACTATAATAGAACACGTTTAAAAATATAATGCATTTATTTATTTTTTTGAAATGTGACTTACGTAAGTTTTAGTGGGTTTAATTTCCAGGATTCTTGCTTGACTTCATCTCGAAGCCAGTCATAAGCGGGTTCACGACGGCAGCCGCCTTGCAGATCTCGGCCTCTCAACTAAAGTCCCTATTTTGTATAGCAGGTAAATCTATTTCATCAGCTCGTTATAGTTCTTTTTTAATTTAATAATGATTAACTTTACATTCACAGTTCAAAGACAATCTATTATCGATTAAGAATCAAAAAACATATACGTTGTCAGATGTGTAAGATGGAAGGTTTCGTTATCAGTAATAAAAGGGTTCAGTTTTTTCCTTTTTAGGTACGGAACCCTAAAACAATTTATGTATTTATTGTTATGTTATGCATCAAGTAGGTAATGGCATATCGAGTGTAGTTCCAGCAACAAATTGGCGATATCATTTATATAATAAATTACTTCTGCACATTTCTTTTAATATTCTACTAAGCCAGCGCTTATCTACGATTCCACCTGATGGTATGTGGTGATGTAGCCTAAGATGGTGAAGTCCACTGACTTAACAAAAGCCTATTCACTCTTGCCTTGAAGACACCCCACACACAAGACAGATGCTGGCAACATATTCCACTCCTTTGCTGTACGCATGATGAACGACGTGGCGAACCGTTTGGTTCGATTGCGTGGTAAGTCAACAACGATAGGGTGGAGACTGGCCGAATGCCTGGTTCTGATCTGGTGTCCAATGGTGGAAGGGAGAGGGAGGAATTAAATTATGCAATTCCTGCGCACACTCCGAAATGCATCGTGTAGAAAACCGAAAGGCTGGCTACTTTACTTCTGAGTTCGAAGCTGGTAAGATTGGTTTTAACCAAATTCTGGTCACCAATAAGCCTCTTAGCACGCCTTTCCATTGAGTCCAAAGCTGCTAGGTGGCATTTTGCAGCACCAGCCCATATATGGCAGCAATACTCCATGCACGACCGGACTTGCGCTTTATATAAAGTAAGCAGCTGTCCCGGCGTGAAGCATCGCCGCACCTTTGCAAGGACTCCCAGATTCCTTGCATCTGCTTTGGCCTTGGACTCAATGAACCTCCTTCAAATTTGAGGATATCTCAAGCCCTAATTTTTTTATAGGAGAGGGGGCAAACGAGCATGCGGCTCACCTGATGGTAAGTGAGTACCGCTGCCCATGAACAACCGCAACACCAGGGAGGGAATTGCAGATGCGTTGCCGGCCTTTTAAAAAGGAGTAGGCTCTTTTCTTGAAGGTCCCTAAGTCGTATCGGTCCGCCGGAAAAATCCGCCTAATAACTGAAGGTGGTCGGTATATTTCAGTGATACATTTCGGAAAGAAGGAGCCAAGGTGAGCTGGCTCCCTTTCGCAGTGAAGAGACACGCTTGTGTTTTGGAGGCGTTGAACTTCACAAGATTGGCAGCGCCCCATTCGGAAACTGTCTGTAATGTGAGATTCAGACGCTCTACCATAGCTTCTCTTTCGGACTGGATTTGATCCCGATTGGCCCGAGGACTTGGTTAGTATCTCTTAACAATTGTGCTATCATCTGCACACCGATAGATACCGGGCATAAGCAGATCATTAATATGCAGCAGAAAGAGAGTTGCGGAGAGACTGGACCCCTGAGGAACACCGGCGTTAGTCGCCATAGGATCGGATGAGCGGCCATCGACGACGACCCGGAGAGACCGTTCACTCAGAAAGTCCTTTACTCATTCAATCAGGCCAGGGGATAAGCCGTACGCTGGAAGCTTACCCAAAAGGCTAGTGTGCTAAACTCTGTCAAAGGACTTTGAGACATCAAGGGAAACAGCAAGTGCTTCCCCACTGTTCTCGAGTGCCTCTCCCCATACGTGTGTGGCATACGCTAGAAGGTCCCCAGCTGACCGATTTCGGCGAAACCCATATTGCCGGTCACTAAGGTCATTCTGTTTTAGGTATGCACTTAAGTGGGCATTCAATATACGTTCCATAATCTTGCAGAGTATGGAGGTAATTGAGATTGGCCGATAATTGGCAGGGTTGGCACGGCTGCCTTTTTTTGGAACAGGCTGCACGTTGGCCAGCTTCCAGGATTTTGGCACTATTCCAGTCCTAAATGAGAGGCGGAACAAGCGTGTCAACACAGGAGACAACTCAGGTGCACAAGACTTTAGAACTATAGCTGGTATACCATCTGGTCCACTAGCTTTATTCACGTCTAGACACTGCAAGGTTTTAAGAACCTCCTTATTTGTTATACGAATCTCCGACATAGAGGTCCCGCAGTGAAGTAATTTTGGTGGAACGTTGTTGCCACTGTCCAGACGTGAATTGTAGGCAAAGAGAGACGCGAACAAGTCCGCTTTCTCTTTAGCCGTATGCGCCATGTGACATCCGTTTTTAACAGCGGAGGCAGTGTAGGCCCACAGAAGTTTGTCTCGACCGCTTTGGCTCGAGACCAAAAAGCGCTACTGCCGGATGGTCTGGTAGAGAGTTTTGCGCCAATATGTTTAATGCGATCGAGACTAGCTTTCCGTAATGCTTTTTTGTATGACTTGGCGGTCTGGTTGAAAGTTCTCTTCTTGGAGCTAATATCCGAAGCTTTGCGGTTTCTAGTGTCAACCCAGGATAGGTGCGCTAAATGCTTGCGCTTTTCAGCTTCGGCTATCAGAATAAATTAAAAAATCGAAAATGATGTTACCTAATTCCTCAAACTGGCGATGGGCAACAGCTTTACGTGTGTGAGGGTCGACATTACGTTCTCGTACCCAATCGTGACGAGTAAATTCTGATCGGCGAGAATTGCTAACTAAACCTTATGAAAACGCAACCCGCAATAGCAACTATCGCTTAAGTATCGCAATCTTTAAATAAATTGAAAATTGACTGCCTCGTTGGTCTAGTGATTGTAGTAGTGCGACTGTAGGTCATGAGGTCCCGGGTTCGTATCCCGGGTCGGGCCAAAAAAATCAGTTATTGAGCTTGTAGTGTAGTTGTGTATTATTGAGCAGTAGCTCGGAGTCAGAAAGTTGGCAGTGTCTCACCCCCGTGCCTCGGAAAGCACGTAAAGCCGTTGGTCCTGCGCCTGATCTCTCTCCGGTCGTGTCGGCTTACCGTCCCATCGGACTATAAGAGTAAAGGAATAGAGTGCACCTGTGCTTGCACATACACTTGGGCACTATATCCTGTCCTGTGCAGAGTCTAGTTGCTAGTCTCCGTTGAGGTTGGCCGCCGTGACCGAAATTCGGTCTGGAAGGCATTGTCGCAATCTGTTAAGTGTCTTTTGGTACGAGACTCGCAGCTGTTGTGAAACTCTAAGCTTGGCAGATGAGCCGACTTTTTTATTATCTATCAGCAAAAATAACTAGCGGGAAGCAATTTATAATGAGTTAAGGAATCCTGATTTTTTTATCAACTTCCGCCTAACAGACTATAAGTGCGGGTAAATAGTTCAAGAAATACCTCATGTAGCGATATTTTCTATCAGCGCAAATAATTAGCTGGCCGCAATTTGTAATGAGTTTAGAAACCCTGATTTTTCCTTTTTTTATCAACTTCCACCTAACAGATTATAGGTACGGGTAAATAGTTCAAGAAATACCTCACCTAGCGATATTTTCTATCAGCGAAAACAATTAGCTAGCCGCAATTTGTAATGAGTTTAGAAACCCTGATTTTTCCTTTTTTTATCAACTTCCACCTAATAGATTATAGGTACGGCTAAATAGTTCAAGAAATACTTCATCTAGTATTATTTTCTACCACCAAAAATAATTAGCGGGCCGCAATTTGTAAAGATCTTAAGAACCCCACATTTTAACAGACTTCAAAAAAAGGAGCAGGTACTCAATGATCATCCACAACTTGTTCTGCCACCAGGGCCGCGCCACTAGAAAGTGAGTCGTAACATTTGACAGATTTCATAGCGGGGAAGTTAATTTGTTCGGAAAATGTAAAGGTTATTGTTTCTTTCTGCACTATTAGCTATATTTTATATTCATAAGATTAAAAATAAATAAAACAAACCACAGATATTTATACAAGTAGAACATAGAAATATTACGCATAGAAACGCAGTCCAGTACAAAATACGAGTGTTAAAATGATGCAAAGTCATTATGTTAGTGGGCGCGAGTCGAATGTGCCTACGCTCGTCACACGCACACATACACGCCATTCAGTGATACCAGTTTCTGGCGTTTGCAATCAAATTGTGCAAATCACAATTTTTTTGATTAATTTTAAAAAATCGATATAATAAAGATTACGTATTACGTACGAAGATTATTTAGTAGAAGTATTTTATGAGAATATAAAATGGAATAAAATATACACGATAATGATGTTACTAATATAACTTTATTATACATAATATATTAATGGTAAAAAATGCAGACGTAATAAAATTTAAGAATATTATTAAATACAATTAATTTGCTCGAATACAATAAGCACATCGTGTAATGTTTAATTTTAACCGACTTCAAAAATGGAGGAGGTTATCAATTCGGTGTATTTTTTAATGTTTTTTACCTCAGAATTCTACAATTTCTAAACCGATTTAGATTTCTTTTTGAAAGGATATACACACAGATTGATCCAATACACACGCTAAAATTTTAATTGTTGTTTTCCTTTGTCTGTAGTAAAATGATATTGCCTTAGTAGTACAATAGAATAGATGTAAAAATGGCAGATTTACAATCGAGAAAAACAATACTCGAATGCAATCTCAAACCAATAGCAATATCTCGCAAGGAGGTCGGGCGTACAGGCTAGCTTATACCGAATTACTATAATAAAGTCTAAAAAAAATTCGCTGGACGTAATGTAGCGTTACGTCTATCGCACGTGCTACCGCGCGCTTCCTACACAGTGAAGGACCACTAATAAATGTTCATAACATGAACTCTCAAGCGTAGTGATACGACATAACTAATTTGGACGCCCGAATAGCTTGTGAGGTATTACTATAGTAAATCTACCCTTTTTTATTTGTAATATTTTTTTAATTTAATAAATTGACTCTACTATCGAGACAGTATAATTTGGCTGCGGGACAACAACCACTAAAATTTCAGCATGTATATACGAATTGATCAAGCTTAGAAATCAGTGTACATACATATTGATAACCTTTTTTTTTTGGGAGTCGGTTAAAATAGGCTATGTTTGGGTCTAACGTAACATCTGGTTAATGTTTGGGTGTAAAGTGGCATCTGGTTAGTAAAGGCGTTCTTATTAATAATCTCATGATGTTGTAAATAAAAAAGTTTGTATTCTCTACTCTAAAATGTAACCTTAGTCAACAAAAAAGCAATTAAAATAAAATAGTCGCGTTAAAATGGCGTCGACGAATCGCGATTAACTGATCATTCCGTATTAGTTTTAAATAGGCACCCATTGTTAATATAATGTTAACACTTAGAGAAGTAGGTATCTATATATAAACATTTGAGCAGAGCGTTGCGATTAAACGTTTTAAACACAAATAGAAAATAAATATTTTTAAAAGAAAATTGTGATTTTTTCCCCACAACTAGCAACATTTGTATTATGAGAGCTTAGGTAAGTATTTTTTTAGTTTTACGTACTTATAATGAATTAAATGTATAAACTTATATGTGAAATGTAATACCATTACTTCATTTATGTTTATCATCACCGTTGGGACAATATTTTATAACACAAACGGTAATTTTTACAATTTTTCGCGAGCTCTTTTCCGTAAGACGTGACGTTGCGCACTGACGCGTCGCGGAGTCAACTAACGCGGTTTCGAGTTAGTTTTACTTGCTTCACTTTCGGTGCGCGTACTAGTATTCTATGCGTAATAATTCTATGAAGTAGAAAATTTAAATAAAAAAGTTAAAAATGTGCAAAAAAATTAAAGGGCAAACCACTGACGCATTGTTTTGTGTATTAATTTAATACTCTAAAAACTGGTAAACTTTTATTAAAAACCAACATCTCAATTAAATTACACTGTGTTAAGGTAGCAGTACACGTTGGCCAACGTGTACTGGGCCGTTTTGTGTATATTTGGCGATTGCGGCCAACACTCGCCGACAAGCCGTATAGTGTCGGTTTTCCATGCACAAATCAAGAAATTTGGCGCAAGCCGCAAATAGCGATCACACGTTGGCCGAGTGTTCAGTTCATAGTTACGCTTTACGGATTAATAATATTATTTCACGAACATGGCGACATGGCCTAATGAGGACATATTTAGGTTCATTGATTCTTATCACAATGAATCAGTTATATGGAACCCCAAACATGAGCAACATAAAAATAAGGCCGCGATCACTAACGTCCATCATCATCTAGCTACCAACGCAGAATGAAGTACGCCAACGTGTGAACGGCACTACAAAAATCTGCCGAGCGGGCTCGCCTAACGCGCTCGTCCAACGTGTAATGGAGCCTTAACAAAAAACCTTACCTCAGTGTCAACTAGCAACATCTGGTGAGCAGAAAATTATTAGCCCTCATTCGACTGTATTTTTTATGTGTTGGTGCTTCTCATGTGGTCCGACATAAATTTATGTAGTTGACTTCAAGTACATTGATGATGTTCTCATTTTATTTATATTGAAGTAAGTTGTACAAAATTTTTAATTTTATCATTAATTTGTTCTCTTTTTAATAACTCTCGCCAAACAGATTATAGGTACAGGTAAATAGTTCAAGAAATACTTCATTTAGTGCATCATTGAGAAGACCTATATCCAGCAATGGGTCGAAAAAAACCAGTAACGAAGGAAATTATCTGTATTTTACATTTTTCTACTCCGCCAGAAACTTACTGGAGCCAACTGTGATATAATGACGGCTTATAAAAGAAGATTGTTTTTTCCTGAGTTTTAATTTGGAAAATATTTTTGCAGGTTCATCGGGAGACACGTTCATTCATGCCCTAGTCAACTTCTTCAAGAACATAAAAACGGCTCAACTTTGGGACAGCGTCTTAGGAGCATCTTCTATTGTCTTTCTTTTGTTATTAAAGGTGTGTTCCAAAATATGATAAGCAAGCTTTTTATTAGTACTTCTTTCAAAATTGATAAACATTTTAAACATTTTCAATGAGGGCTAATAATTTTCTGCTCACCAGATGTCGCTAGTTGACACTGAGGTAAAGTTTTTTTGTTACACAATGTCATCTAATTGCGAAGTTAGTTTTTAATAAAAGTTAATCAGTTTCAATAGTATTATATTAATACAAAAAACAATGCCTCAGTGGTTTACTCCTTGATTTTTTGCACATTTTTAACCTTTTTTAAAATTTTTCTTTTATGAATATCTGTGGTTTGGCTTACTTACTTTTAATCTTATTAATATAAAATATAGCTAATAGTACAGAAAGAAACAATAACTTAAATTTTCTGAACAACAACTTCCCCGCTATGAAATCTGTCAAATATTATATTGAGCGGCTTTTTTGCCGCGATCCTGCGGCAAAAAAAGTTGTGCATATTGTTTTAATTTAACATAAGCTAGACAAAACATTTTTGGTGTTTCTTTTTAAAGATATACAAGATAAGAGAATTTCATAATGTCCTTTGACTTTGTACTAATTAGCTCCTTTTATTTATGTTTTTTATTTTATTCGTATTCTTATTATGTAATTGGTAACAGGTATACTTAATATATTTTTTATTTAGTATAGTTTAAGTGGTTCTGGGCCGCGGGTTCAAATCCCGTACGGAACAAGTGTTTGTATGACCTACAAATAATTTGTGCGGTCTCAATATATTTCCTTGTATAATTTATGTATGTCAACAGCCTCCATGTTACAAGAGAAAATCCTACTGTGGGGTAACTTTAAAAAAAATATAAATATAAATTAATGCTGTTTCGAAAAATACCTGTCCTCAAAAAAGAAACAGATAAATCAGCAGGATATTTTTTTATTATAAAAGTATACAAGAATAATACACCCTTTTCTATTAATAAAATCAATCAAGAAACAGCTTGCCAGTGATCTCATTAACATACATAGACCCTGGGAAGGATTATATATATAATCCATCAATATGAAAATCCTATCTATATCTTGTTCTATTAAAGCTACTTACGTTTTTACCTACATATATTATATTTTTTTAAATATATTAACAGCAAACTTGAAATTCTTTATTTGAACTATATTAATGTTATTAAATTATTTAAAAAAAGTTGGCGTGTAGTGCGTGTGTAGGAATATCCTCTAACCTGTATCGCCCAATGGATGACGTAAGAGGCTAGAAAATAAAAGGTTGCCAACGCAAACTATGGTGAAATCCCCCCTATGAAGTAATCTATGAGGCTATGCTCAGAAGTGGACTTTCATAGGTTGTAATGATGATGGTGATTAACTTTTTCTTAATTGAAAGTAATATGTCAACTTTGTTATATTTGCAGCGGCTGACTTTGGGCAATTCTTTAGAAAAAGTGTGCCAGTACGTGGTCCGTGCCAGAAACGCACTCTTGGTGTTCGCAGCATCGATCCTCGCTTACTTTTTGCACAGGCATGGCTCCACGCCATTTACATTGACCGGTGAGTTATTCGCCTTAATTTAAGGAAGACTTAACAAAATATTGTTAAGGTTGTAATTAATGTTAAATGTTTTATTCAGATATAAAACCAATAGAAACGAATGTATTTATAACTTCCCGTTTTGAAAATTAATAATTTAAAAATTAATAATTTTCAAAAGTAGCAAGATATAGGTTTCGGTCCCATTTTGGGAATGTGAGTTTTCTCCATGTTTTGAGGTCCTAGGAAGCCGTTCTGACTATTCCCGGCTGGACGTCTGGCCGTATGTGTGTGTGTGTGGTGTGTGTATGTAAATAAAATTTTGTCGTACATCTTTAGAACGAATCAACCGATCGAAATGGGCGACACGGCGTTCGAAAGTGTTCATTGAGATTTCGAACTGATTAGATTTTCAAGTCAATCGGCCAAGCCGTTCTAAAGACTGAATAAATAAAAGACAAAAAAAAATTAAATAGATTTTCGAGCATTGCGCTGAAAACTAAGCGGGAAGTTCCAGAAATGGCCTGCAGGGTCAACCGTATTTTTTAATTTACAAAATATAACTTTAATATCGCATCTACCAAGGGGAGTGCTCAGAGGAATTGTTCGGACTAATTCCAGCCGCTGAATTTCACCATAGCAGATCGCGACAAAACTCACGATACCATCCATACCATCTAGATGATTGGCGGTTCAGAACTGTGCGATTTACAGTAAAGTTTCTTCCCCGCACAAATTCCTTGTGCACTTTCGAACAATTCCTCTGAGCACTCCCCGTGGTAGATGCAATATTAAAGTTATATTTTGTAAATTAAAAAATACGGTTAACCCTGCAGGCCATCCCTGAAACTTCCCGTTTATTTTTCAGCGCAATGCTCGAAAATCTATTTAATTTTTTTGACTTTTTTTTTTTGGTAAAATACGAAGAGCGGCGACGTTTGGCGTAAATGAGATGATTCACCGCAATGAGATCTTTCTGGCATTATTCACAGTCGCCTCATGCGTCATCCGAGCACAAAATGGAGTGATGGATTCTCTTACGTCGCCACTACATGAAGATCATTTATTAAAACAACAAATTTAGCGAATATCCGGCTCGAAGGACCGACCAATATACTCAATTTCCAGGTAAAATTGAAGGCGGGCTGCCGCATTTTGGGCTTCCGCCATTCAGCACGGTCGTTAACAACCAAACGCTCAGTTTCACGGACATGGTCGCAGTGTTCGGACCTGAAGGACTTGTGATACCTCTAGTCGCTATCTTAGAGAGCATCGCAATAGCTAAAGCTTTCGGTAAGTTTTTAAACAACACTTTTTTAAATATACCTTAAAGTACTTGGCGTGGAAATGAGATGACCTATTAGAATGATCTTTCATCATCATCGTCATCATTACAGTCTATCAAAGTCCATTTAGCTTCCGTCCCTCACATAGATTGCTTCATTTGATGTAGTTGCCACGCCTGGCCGGCGGGTAGGCTACCATAGTTTTTATTTTGCTGCTTCAGTCGGCTTTAAACACTATCGTCATCAACTGTCCGCTAGGGGCTAAGCTGTCATCGAAATATCTCAAAATTTTTTGCTACGTGACCTATCAGCATATCATGACAAATTTAATGAATAAAATACACCTTAGACTTGGCTTTATAGTCTAAGACCGTTGTCTGCATTCATTGGCAAACAAGGAAGAATAAGCGAAAAATTGTTAAAAAAAATCGATAAAAATTGTTGATACTATCTAGTTTCTACTTTTGTCACCATTGCTGATATCAATAAAATAATTTACTATTGCTTATCTAATCAAGCCTACAGCGAAGTCTGGACAAAAATCATCATACATAATTTAAAACTAAATTGACTACATAGCTGTTGTGGCAAATGTTGATGGAATTATTAAGCACCTACTTATGTTACCATTACAGATATCAATAAAATAATTTACTATGTTTTGTCTAATCAAGCTTACGGCATATAGAAGTCTGGAAAAAATCATCATACATTATTTAAAACTAAATTGACTAGTTGTTGAAGTTGTTACGATTCGCCAATAAAGGCAGGCAAAGGTCTAACACCATACACCCTGGTCTGATGTGTATTTTATTCATAGAACTTCTCAATATACTAATGTGTTGAGATTTTGGCGGTTGCTTAACATAGCAGACAGTTAATGAGGAAAAGATATCAAGGAACGGATAAAAAACTTAAGATTTATATCACCGAGCAGCGTTCACATGCGAACGCTGCTCAGCCGAGTTGAATTCGTCGATTGACCTCTCGGTTGAAGTTGGACTGACCTAGTCGGACTATTTGTCCCAGGTAAACATACTCGTCAACAACTACGAGCTTAGTGCTCCCAACAACTACCGGCATAGGTGTAACATGGGCGTTACACATGAGTGGTAAAGGATGCTAAAGAATAAATATTTTTGTTTATTTACTTATTGTTTATTTTATTACTTTAATAAATGTCTAAAGATAGAAAGACAATAAAATAATTATTTTTCGACCGTTAAAGTAAATAGTGGAGTAATAGTAATAACCCATTTGTAATCCCAATTTTATATGCTGCTTTAGCACTTGCTCAGCGAAAAATAAAACCGTCAAGAATGCTATATCTATGAAAATATTTTGAAATCATAAAGTGAAGGCAGGATCTTGATAATGGCCGTGTAGCGGCGGCGTAAAAGACTCCATTACCTCATGTTTTGATGCTCGAAAGATGATCGAAATACCATGTAGTGGTGGCGTCCACTACCCTTCTCATCCCGTGTGTGTCGTAAGAGGCGAAGAAGGGAAACAAATCGGAAGTTAGGCAGCAGCGTCTTCTTAATAACGACTAAAAATAAAGAAATAACTGTGGTTGTCAACACGCTTGCCAAGCATGCCAACTATGGTAAATATCCCTACCCCTATGATGCAATCTATGGAGGAGGCCTATGTTTAAGATTGGAGCTAATAGACTGTAACGGTAACTGCAACGGAGTATCGTAAAAGGCAGCAGAGGAAATGAAACAGGATAAAGCCAATAGTATCTTCCTGACAACAAATCAAAATAATCAAAAAATTGCGGATGCCATCCCACTTGTTAAGAGAGGGAACTATGGCAAATGTTTCCCCTATGAGGCAATCTATACAAAAGGACTATGTTCAACAGTTGTCTTTTGATAAGCTGAAACTGATTTTATATATATTAGATTTTTGTTACGCTATAATAGCACATTAATTGAGGTGTCTATAGAATGGAAAAACGCAACAACCTTGTAAAAGAAATAATCTTATTTTGTACCACGTAAAAAGTAGGTCAGTTCAACTACAAGAATTTTGTTCTAATTTTTGGATTCCCTCTATGCTAATAACTACTCTTAGCACACTGACCTCTATATATGGATTGGCTATACTCTGTGACATAATAAGGCAATTTGATTTTCGCCATTTTGGCCCTGACAGCAGAAGTGAGCGTCCACGAAACTAATAATAGAGATAAGACAGTGTGATAAAATATATCGATGAAAATTCTATACCCAGACCTATTCGCAACGTCCATTCTATTTATGTATCATATTAATATATCATACAATAAATAAATGTATCAATTATTTATTGTATGTTATATAATACCTTGGCCTTAGATGCAATTTTATACGACATATAAAACCAAGATCGACGCTGCGTTGGTCTACCTACGTTTTTATTTGTAACTATAGAACGGATTTTGCTACGGGTTTCAACATTGGGTATCTTGGTTCATTTGCGAGGCTTAAATATTCAATTAGTACAGGAAAATATTCAACTGCTGTAATTAACTATACAAAATAAAAATGAGAACATAATTTCTCAAATAAATTATTGTCAACTGTTCACTCAGTTCTAGTATTATAGAAAACAGCTGCTAAAATAACGCCTATTCTAATTACAGAACTTTTACATATAGACTATCTTTATCTATAGACAGATTATCGTTGACTATAGGCAGAATAAATTAAAATTTAAAAGAGTATGTTTGTTGGTTCGTATTTTATAAGCTGCCATACCGTTCATAAGATTGCGGCAAAACTTTGTCAACTTATTGCTTGCATTTGCGCGAAGGCTTTTAAAGTTTATACTTGTACTTTTAGAAATTATGACGGAAACAATTATTAAAACCCCGAGTTCTTCATATGACGCCGTAGATATTATTATTACACGGTTATTTAACAATGATATTATGAATGATATTAAGGATTCGACCAAATACCATGTTACACGAGAGTAAATAACCTCCTAATAATTTTACTCTTTGGTCTTACTCTCGGATTACTTCGTTTGCGTTTTTCCAACACAGACGTGGAGTACCCAATAGCACAATAAATAATAGTACTACGTACAGAAGTTGCACTCCTTTGATGTTGACTGCTTGCCGAAGGTTTAATAGCTTACATAATTGTTATTAATTAGATAAATCGCGCACGCAAGCTAAATAAAACTTTATCGCTGCGCGCGAGTGTCCATATCACTTTGCATCTTTTCCCTTTCCTGCGTCACGTAGGACTTTCCGTGGTAACTAAGAGCTGCGAATAAAGAATACATTGTGAAATGGTAAGTTACTTCGTGAAATTTGGCGGGGGGATTAATCCGAACAATTAAATAATCAAGCTATATTTAACCACTCAGGTTTCGACAATAACCACCACCAACTTAGTCAAACCTATGGTCAGGCCAAAGACATTTTTTTAAATGAAAGTAAATATAACTTGGAGTTATTACTATGTTCTTTTTTTTTTATAGGAGAGGGGGCAAACGAGCATGCGGCTCACCTGATGGTAAGTGACTACCGCCCCCCATGAACAACTGCAACACCAGGGAGGTAATTGCAGATGCGTTGCCGGCCTTTAAGATTCTTATCCAAAAATAAAGAAATATCAACAGTCAAAATATCGCATTATTTGTACTAAGGTCAAGAGAGCGCTAGAGAAATGACGATTGCAAGAAGTTGTCCATAAATAAAATGTTTTGAGAAGTTATCCATTACCGTGTAGTGGCGGTGTATGAATATCCATATCATCCCGTGGGTCTCGTAAGAGACTAGACTTAGAGAAAAGTCTCATTTTTCTCTAAGTCTAGTCGGCCTGACAGGTGCACCACCGACCATACCTTCAACTGGGACATACCGAGCTGGCGTGCTACAATGTTTGTTGAGACGTTAGGGTCGTCAATAAAATGTTGCATAATTGTTTCTTCATCGTCAGCCGTGAAACCGTGCCAATATTCACTTGATTTCTGTGAATAGTGCCGCTTTCACTTAATCGTCGATAGGTAGCTCCGAAGACATAAACTTGGGAAATCCGGCGATCAGGAAAGCAACGTAAATATTCTCTACGAGCCCCAGCAACGTTGCCGTCAGCAAAACCATAATAGTACATGATGTGGGCATATTCTTTATTAGAATACGACGTCATTTTAACGTAGACGCACAAAAACAGTAACAATGAACAGTCAGTAACAGATAACGTTAACAACAACAATAACGATAAAGACTGAAAACAATAACAAATGAATTAACGCGATGAGAGTTTATTAGAAGGAAGTTTAAACACGTGCTTGCGCAGTGACAGTAGAAACTAACTAACGACTAACGAGCGTCGCTACGACACAATTTAAAATGGCCGTCTGCTTTCTGAATAGTTGTCAACAACCAATCAGACGCCAAGTCACAGAGTGTAAGTTCGTTCCTAAGAGCATTCATTCTTTGCCGTTCTCTGCCTGCGTTAAGTAAAAGATATTTTTATTATTATTATTAATTGTTGTAATGGCCATGTTTTTTAAAATATTTTTATGTCTCTTGTCATGTAATCTTTTGAATTACGTCACATTTTATGATACATAAAGTGTAAAAATAGAAAGAAATGTATTAAAACCCATAATTTTTTACTGTGAATACTTTTTGTACATTTTATGATTGTATTCGCTTGGTTGAAGCTTCAAGAAAATAAATAAACTTAAAAGAAAGCATACAAAAAGGTTTCTGGATGATTATTGAAAAAAACCTTTAAAATTCGTATTTCTCAAGACCTGTTCATTTTCGGCCATACATATGGGGGATCAAATTTGTAGCATTTTGACTCCCTGCCAGGAAGTTGTCGAGTTACCAGTAGCCCTGTATAATATGGTTTTTAAGGGGGAGTAAATTAATTAGATTTTTGTGTTTGATTAATAAACATCGTTCCATAAATTCGTACCTATGTTTTATTGAGCTACCTTATAATTATCGCTTACCTAATATTTACAAATACTTTAATAACTTAAGTAAAATAACGCATAGACCTCAATCTTGGCGCATCACTATTCAACCATTCTCAAGTCCCAACTATGTATCTGAACATCTGGTTTCGCTTGGCATAATGGGCATTAAGTGATAGGCGCGCTCTTTACCTTGCTTATTTGTACTTTAAGTTCTGAACACTCTTTATCTATTGTTCTAACGGGTCCCTTCTAAATATTACTATTTACTATACTCTTTAGCAGGGTCTATAATTATTATTATTATTGACAATCAGATCGCCATATTTAACAGTGGTAGAGCTAAGCGGTAGCTTTTGCTGTCGCACGGATGGGCCCAGCTTGAACCGGGGTGGTACCACGACCTCACAGAATACCAGCGTGAAGTAGAGGTTTAGTAGAGGCCCAATCCCCCCCCCCCCCCATCAACATGGTAGTGGAATTAAATAAAAGACTACCCCAGGAGGGTACCTGCACCCCTGGAGAATCGCTCGTTGAGCATCCACGACCAAACTACTTCACTCCTGAGCATGGGTGCTCAGGCTGCCCCGCGTATTCTGGGGGGGGGGGGGGGGGGCAAAATTCCGCTTGCGACTAATGCTGTTCGAGGCAAGCGGAGCAATACAACCAAGGCGACTCCTGTCACGCTATCCGTGAATTTTTGCAACATCAGGGGACTTCATTCCAACCTTAACGCTGTCCATTACCATCTAGAGACGGCGAAGCCGGCCTTGCTCTTTTTAACCGAGACTCAGGTATCCTCTCCGGCTGATACTTCATATCTCTCCTACCCGGGGTACAAATTGGAACACTCCTTTATGCCCCGGGCTGGGGTTTGTGTACGTCAGAGAGGACATCTGTTCTCGACGCCTCGGCAGTCTTGAAGGTACGGACATGTCCATCCTATGGCTGCGCGTAGACAGCGACGACCATCCCCGCGTCTACGGATGCCTCTATAGGTCCCATAGCGGTAATGCTGACACAGACCGACTCATCGACCACGTCCAAATGGCTGCAGACTCCGTGCTACAACAGGTCCCATCCGCGGAGATCGTGATACTCGGTGATTTTAACGTCCACCACGCTGAATGGCTTGGTTCTCGTTTAACCGATCATGCGGGTAGATCTGTCTATGACTTTGCTTTGGCATATGGTCTAACACAACGGGTTACTTCGCCTACGCGGATCCCAGATGTGGAAGACCATGTATCTTCCCTGTTGGACCTTCTGCTGACCTCTCATCCGGACAGATATCAGGTCTCCGTCGATGCCCCTCTGGGCTCTTCGGACCATTGTCTGATCCGGAGTACGGTGCCACTCACGCTCCAATCGCAGTTGCGATCTGCAGCTTGCCGCCGTGTTTGGCACTATAGGTCAGCTGATTGGGACGGGATGCGGTCTTTTTTTGCATCCTACCCTTGGGGGCGGGTTTGCTTCTTGCCGGAAGATCCCAGCGTTGTTGCCGATTCTGTTGCTGATGTGGTACTTCAGTGCATGGAACTTTTTATTCCATCCTCTGTGGTGCCCATCGGTGGCAGATCCCAGACATGGTTTGGTCGCTCCTGTAAAATAGCATCACGCTATAAGCAGGAGTGCTACCGGGCCTGGGCTGACTTCTGTCAGCCATCTCTTCCATCTCTGCACAGAGAGGACGACTCACTGGCCCATGCCGCAAAGGAGAAAGCCGATCTGTTGAGCTCTCTTTTTGCGTCCAACTCGACTCTAGATGACGGGGGGAACACACCGCCGACCATCCCGCGATGTGAGTGCTCCATGCCGGATGTGCGGTTTACACAGCGCTCGGTTCGCAAAGCACTCTTCTTCCTGGACGTCAGCAAGTCGAGTGGGCCCGATGGAGTCCCTCCCATTGTGCTGAAGACGTGTGCTCCGGAGTTGGCACCGGTTTTAACGCGTCTTTTCCGGTACTCCTACTCCCAAGACGTAGTCCCGAATTCATGGAAGACAGCTTTGGTCCACCCGATCCCTAAAAAAGGCGACCGCTGAGACCCGTCCAACTACAGGCCTATTGCAATCACCTCCTTGTTCACCAAAATAATGGAATCCATTATAAACTGCCAGCTCATGAGGTACCTTGAGGATCACCAGCTGATTAGTGACCGCCAGTACGGTTTTCGTCGAGGTCGATCAGCTGGTGATCTTCTAGTCTATCTGACTCATAGATGGGCGGAGGCAGTAGAGTCCAAAGGGAAGGCATTGGCCGTTAGTTTGGACATAGCGAAGGCCTTCGATCGGGTCTGGCACAAATCACTTCTTTCGAAGTTTCCTTCCTATGGGCTTCCCAAAAACTTGTGCAAATGGATCACCAGTTTATTTGCTAATCAGAGCATCAAGGTCGTAGTAGACTGTGCATGCTCTGATTTCAAGCCTATCAACGCTGGTGTTCGACAAGGCTGCGTGCTATCACCAACGCTGTTTCTCCTGCATATCAATGATATGTTGCTAACTGGTAGCATTCATTGCTATGCAGACGACAGCACTGGTGATGCCTTATATACCGGTCGTGCCAATATTTCTCGGGAAAACGTCGCTGAGTACCGGGACAAACTTGTGTCTGAAGTCGAGTCTTTGCTTAACAAAGTATCGGATTGGGGCCGACTAAATCTAGTCCAGTTCAATCCCCAGAAGACACAAGTTTGCGCGTTTACTGCTAAAAAGAACCCCTTTGTCGTATCTCCTCAGTTTCAAGGCACTCCCCTTGCTGCCTCAGCTAGTATCGGAATCCTTGGCGTCGACATATCGAATAGTGTGCAGTTTCGTGGTCACTTGGAAGGGAAGGCCAAATTGGCCTCTAAAAAGCTTGGCGTGCTCAGCAGAGCGAGACAGTATTTCATGCCGGCACATCGCTTGCAACTTTACAAAGCGCAAGTTCGGCCCCACATAGAATACTGTTCTCATCTCTGGGCCTGTGCACCTCAGTGCTAGCTCCTTCCACTTGACCGCATCCAGCGCAGAGCGGTTCGAATCGTCGACGACCGAGTTCTTTCTGATCGGCTCGATACACTGACATTGCGTAGAGATGTTGCATCTCTGCGTATTTTATCGCATTTATCACGGGGAGTGCTCTGAGGAATTGTTCGGACTAATTCCAGCCGCTCAATTTCACCATCGCACATCGCGACAAAACTTGCGTTACCATCCATACCATCTGGATGATTGGCGGTCAACCACTGTGCGGTTTAGAAGAAGTTTTCTCCCTCGCACAACTTCCTTGTGGAAGCAATTACCACCAGCGAATTTTCCGGATCGATACGACTTAGGAACTTTCAAGAAAAGAGCTTACACCTTTCTAATAGGCCGGCAACGCATCTGCAATACCCCTGTTGTTGCGGTTGTTCATGGGCGGCGGTAGTCACTTACCATCAGGTGAGCCGCATGCTCGTTTGCCCACTCTTATATAAATAAAAAAAATACGGATATTTCGGAACTTGAAAGGTTAAAAAATTATAGACATAAGGTTAGAAAAGGCTTTATAGACATGAGGTTATCTTACATGCATCAATAGTTTGAGCGTTATCTTTTTTATGCCTACACATTTTATCATTTAGCTAGATAGTGTTATGTGACACTGGCAAAAATATAACTGATTGATTCCATAACCAAAAAAAAATACTTGGAACGTGTGTGTGTGTGCGTGCAGAAGGCGGCGCGGTGGACGCGGGGCAGGAGCTGGTGGCGCTGGGCGCGTGCGGCGTGCTGGGCGCGGCGGCGCGCTGCATGCCGGCCACCGGCTCCTTCACGCGCACCGCACTCAACCACGCCTGCGGAGTGCTCACTCCCGCTGGCTCCTTCTTCAAAGGTCACTCTCACTCACTCTCACTATCTCTGTGAGAACGTGGTCCGTCCCAGTCGAGCCGACCCACTTGTGCTACATCCATAATATAGCTGCAGCGTGGCTCTATCACGCATAAGTATAACAGAGAGCCAATTAATTGTTTACAATATTAATATTATATGGGTGCACCTCACCGCACCACAATACACTAATTATAAACACATAGAGTGGTATATAACACTTTGAAATGTTTCACTTTTGTTAAATATTTGACAGATGTAGTCTTAAGTTGGACCATGCTCTCACAGAATACCGACGTAAAATAGCAGCTAGCAGACCGGAGACCATTTTTACTGGAAAGAAGGCATTCCATCTAAGTCCTCAGAAGTGACAACGTATCTGCATTTTGATTCTTAATTGAGGTTTTTATTATGCCTGCTCTACACTACTCCCGAAGTAAATCGAAGTTGGAATCGAAGGCGAATAGTGTAGACAGGTACTTCGATTCGCTTCGTGCAACCTCACTTCGCCTCAGGCGACTTCCGATCGCTGTCGGTTTTTTGCGCCACAGTCAAAGGACTTCGCGAAGTACCCCGAAGTTACACGAAGCGTCTCACTACACTACTCGGCTTACGCCAGTTATGAATATTCTTTTTATATATAAATATTAAATATGAAGCTTTCTACATAATTATTTATTTAGTTAACGCATTGACGTCGTACTGTTCACACAATTAGGTACCTATCTATATAGTCTATATAGTCATTGACGTTAAGGGTGCGGGAGACTCAAGACGACTAATCTCTTCGCGTAGTAGCACGAATGTGTGGTCACGTTCTTCGGACTGCGATCGACTTCGACGAGCACTTCGTTAAAGTTACTTCGCGAGTAGTCTAGAGAAGGCATTATGATTCTTAATGTCTATGGGGCACAGCATCGACTTACCAAAAAATTGCGCGTTTGTCATCCTTATTCTATATAAATAAAATTAATAATAGTACATACGCACGCCCAGCCTCTCTGCTACTTAAACTGCTACCCTCAATACGAATGTACAAAAGACAATGTAAATATCTATTAAATAGATGCAAACACGACAGTCACACGAATTTTAACCTTAGTTAAATTGTTATAATTATTTTTTTTTGTTTGTTTGTTTTAAAAAAAATGTTACTCCCACACTAGGATTTTCTCCTGTATCGTGGAGGCAGTTTACAAAAACAAATTGCACAAGGACAAACATCCAGACCCGGTACAATTATTTGTAGGCCATACAAATACTTGTTCTGTGCGGGATTCGAACCCGCGACCCCCAGCGCAGCAACTAATTGCTAAGCCACTGCGCCACGGAGCCTCTCATAATTATAAAAATAATATTGTCAAGTTAACCTCTCAGACCTTGACATTTTATTGGACATATTTAGTTAGAACTATGGTCAAGCCAAAGAGTATAGTAGGTCAGGCCAGACGATTTTTTAAAAAAATGGTAAAAATAACTTAGAGTCATTACTATGTTCATATCCAAAAATAAAAAATTATCAACAATATAATATATCGATAAACTCAGTAGAAGCCTCAAAAAAAATTAAATCACAGGTATATACTTGTACATCCGTAAGATAGCGTAATAAAGTATATACTTTATTACGCTATCTTTGAGCAACGTCATTTTTCTAACGACTTCAAACAGGAGAAGGAAGTCGACTGTGTTTTTTTATGTATGTTACCTCATAACCTTCTGGGTGAACTGATTTCGATGATTCTTTTTTTATTTGAAAGCTGGTGCTTCACATTCACATTTTTATTTTTAGTTATTGTTGAAAACAACTTCGCCATAATGTTCACTATATATCGAAATTATAACATAAAACGTAATTTTCGCGCATTGGACTTTGTGGGATATGAAAATTTGTGTTTATTACATGATTTATTGTGATAACTCACACTTTTTATTTACTTTTCAGTTAATTCTGGCTATTAAATATAGTGATACGTGAACGACACAGTATTTGAAATGGCAATTTTATAAAATATATGAAATTGTTACGAAGCAAAATATAAGGAATTAAATTTTAAAACAGTGTAATTACCATTTGTATAAAAACTAACAAAAACTTTCTATTGTACCCACTTAATTTTTTGTAAAATTTCTAGTTGCCTCTTACACTCACGCGGCGAAGGATATAAGACTAAAGTATGTGACGTAAACGCGACGCGAGGCGGAAACTCGTCATTTGAAGTAAATTCTGTTAATTTAAAGAAGCGTAATTTAATAACGAAACTAATTCTAATAAAATTTTAGTTTTATAGTTCATCTAAATAACATTTAAAAAATAATTGTTATGAGCACAATAACTATGGTTCTGACTAAACGTAGTGTAGTGATCATATACTCTTTGGTTCTGAGGGGTCCTTTCTAAATATTACCATACTCTTTGGAGCGTTCTACAAAGTTGACCTTGGATTGCCTCATGTGTACTTCAAAGGCTTGACAGATTAAGGTAATATAATATACTTATCGATATTTTTGCTTTTAGCGTGCCTTGTGCTTCTGGCGGTGACGTTGCTAGCTGATGCGTTTTACTTCATCCCACGTGCGGCTCTAGCTGGTATTATAATGGTCGCAATGATGTCTATCATCGACTTCTCCATCGTTAGGATCCTGTGGATGAACAGCAGTAAGTAAATTGTAATGTTTTCATTGCATAATCATCAATATGTTACGGCCTACGGCTGCTCCAGCAAGGGTAAAATCCTTTGGGGCCCATTCAGCAAAAGACTTCACGAGCAGACGCACGTCGGGCCTCAATATGGCCGCGTGGAATTTCCTATCACAATAAACTAGATAGGAGCAAACTAGAAAGCAAAGGTACTTACCTGTATCAGGAGCCAACTTCGCTCCAAGGCTTGGGTAGGCCGTGAGTGTGTGCAATGGTAGATAGCGAGTCGTGTACAGTGATGTGTGAATCGTCCCTGTTCGACTCGACCCCGCCGCCGGTAGGAACTAACTACCCTCGCGCGAACGTCAAACCGGTACAAATGCACCGCGCCGAGCGCCCTCTGGCGTCAATTCTTGCAATTAGCGTTTGGCGCGAACAAACCCCCGTCCCGGACATAAGGGCTTATGTCCGCGAGCAAACCGGCAAGCGGGACAGGGTCGCGATGGCACGTTGCAAGACCGAACCTACACCAAACTAGGTCTCCTTAGGAACCCCATCAGATCTTGCAACCTTCACCACCGCCTCAAAATTACAGACCCAACGTGGGCGAACCGGAGGGTTAAGCCTCAACTGGATGCCCTTCCTGGACATCGCAGCACATAAATATGTCCTATTCCTGGACAGAAGTCCGACGACCTCCTTTAAACATCTATTTGCGCCCCTATGATTCGCTCCGCAATCCGACCGGATCAGGTCCGCAAACAGCGACGCGATACGAAGCGGCCCAGCGTGGCCTCTTAGGCTTCAGTGCAAGGAGCACCCACAAATTCCACATGAACGTCGTCTGTGGAGAGCTAAACGAAACGCACAGATAGTCCTTAGTATAGATTTTCAAACAGTAGGCATAATCAAGCCATCTACTATATAACTATTTACTTAATTGTGCTGTAGCTGATTTTAATCTGACAATCTCTCAACTAGCTAGCCTTTTAGAGATGCAGTCCTATGCTTATATTTCAACCAAATTTCAAGAGCATTAATACTCAATCTACTATGTAGAACTTGAAAACAACTGTAATAAATTTATTTCTTGATGCACATAGATCAAAACAGACAAACTAAGCAGAACGACAAACATAAGAGATAGCCAAAAAAGTTCCCCCTTTTTTTTCTCAAAATAAATATCTTCGACAATGCCAACAAAGTATGAAAACAAAGAGAGGATGGATTTTTATTTCTTTCGGCACAAATAGTATTACTTTATTTCAATTTTCTTTTCAATAAAGTAAACCTAATGATCAAATATATTTACAAAACATATGTACAAATATTCAAGGAGTATATCAAATTCACCCTTTTAATCACAACCGCTACAAATATGAAAATTTCGCGGAAAACCCAAAAGCATTTTTATTTTTAATTTAAGGAATTTTTAACCAAGTGCTCGACCAAACCAAATCTAATACTCCTTGACAGCGTCATTCAACGCTCCAGGGGAGCCCTAATCTTCCCACCACCAAGTGGAGGCCACACGGCGTGAACCCGAATCCCATGGAGCGCAACCGCTAACAGTCGCCACTCGGGTTGTACGCCTTCACTGAGACCGTCGGCAATAGAACAGTTTGACAAGTGGACTGTTGACGGCTCAAAGGCTCAGTGGAGACGGCCGTGGTGGGAGCTAAGGCGGCAGCTAGCCAGGGCCGCCTCCATCAAAGTGGGGGCGGTGGTACACCAGTCGCGGCCACTCAGCTAACGGGGGTGAGAGGAGGGTCTAGCGGACTGTTGAGGGGCCGTGAAGTTCCTCTCCACACGCTGAGGGGGGGCGATGACACCCCCGCCCCTGGGGGAATTACCCCTCGACTGATCGGAGGAGGGACTCCTTTCAAACCTAGGGGCCCGGTGGCCGGCCGCCGAGCGCCGAGCGTCGCCCGTCAGAGGGCGTGGCTGAGCGCCCCCGCCCGTGGTGGTTGAGGGTCGGGCAGAGCCCCGAGAGGAGACGACGTTCGCACTTAGTCACAAAACTGCATGGTGACCACCCCGGCAATGCGGACAGGGCCGCTGGTGCGGGCAGTCTCGTTGGAGATGCCCTTCCAGACACGAGTAGCATCAGCGGCGCTCCCTGGCGATAGTTTGCCTCGCCGCAGCCGGCTTGCTTAATAATTTCGAGCACGACGTTACCCGGTGATCAGATGCTCGACAATAGGAGCAGGGGGGCGCCTCCCTTGCCACTGTAAGATGGTAGGGAGCGACGCCCTCCCGCGGGAGCTCCATTGGGCCTGGGGGGGTTGACGACGACTTGCCCGGCGGATTCCGCCTCTCACTGGGCACGGCTCGTAAGTCGTCAACGGTGTCCGCCGCGTTCTCAATCTGCCGGCACTGCTCCTCTAAGAACCGCAACAGGTCATTGAAGGGCGGAATATAGGAGGCCCCGTCCCCACCGTACCTCTCCTCAAAATGTATCCGAAGGTCGAGAGGTAGGCGGGACAGCACGATGTGGAGCAACAAAGAGGACCATTCGTCCACTGGTAAATCCAGCCGCCTCAGCGCATTATAGGCCACCAAGACTGGATTCACCAGGTCCGGACGTAGTCTGGCCCGGTCACTAAGCAGCGGGAGGCTTAGAAGCTGCCTAACATGTTCGTCCGCAATTCGCCGAACGTTGGAGTATCTTCTGGCTAGGAGGTCCCGAGCAGTCTGGTAGGCGTCGTCCGACAATCTCAAGTGGCCGACGACGCCCAGGGCCTCCCCCTCCAGTGAGGCCAGAAGGTACGCCATCTTCTGGCTCGGGGTCAAGTCCCTCCGGGCGTCCACTAGGCTGTCGAAAAGACCAACGAAGGTCAGCCATTCCGAAAGGACCCCGGAGAACCTTGGCAGGTCCAGAGTTGGGAGTCGTCTCAACAGCTCCGGCTGAGGTTGCTTCTGAGGAGACTCAGACAGGCCCCTCAGCCGAGCTTCACGTGTTTCATTAGCATACTTGGCCCCCGCCTCGGACAAATCGTCCGTCAGCGAAAAAAATTTCTCGTAGTCCGCGAGGCAGGAGTCTAGGACTTCCTGTTCAGCCTCAGAGGCCAAAAGCTCTGTGCTAGCCTCCTCCACTACAGCCCTTCGGGCATCGATCTGCTCGAGCCGCTTCCCTAAACAATAAACCCGATCAGGTCGACCTATCAACATATGGGCGTTCGCGGCCCAGCGCAACTCCGCTTGCAGGCGGAGCGCCGGTTGCTTGTGCGACGGCATCACTAATAAATACAATTAATACGCGGCTTAAATATAAATCAAATTAACAAATTACAAATACAGTTCCTATCAAATCAAGTTAAATAGAAATTACACAAATACGATTACTATTTATTAAATTAAATACAAGTTAGCCCAAAAAAAAAAAACACAAATCAAATTAACAAGTAACAAACTCTAGTACGATCAACAAATTATCCGATTACGTGACCACCTCATATACCTAGTCAAGGTACCTTGCCTTAACAAACTTCGGTAAGTACTTAGCCTTAACAAAACTTCCGCTTGCTCAACCTACGGGCGTGGCGTTCGCATTCTAACCGCTAACAACAAAAAAAAGCAAGCAACAAAAGAAAAGAATTTTAATTTTACGTATTACGGCCGGGCGTGATTGTAGACACAAAATTAAACCAATCAAACAAACGCTCCCTGCCACCAAAATTGTTTAATTTTTATCAAGTACTATGGTCGGGCTCGACCGGGAATCGAACCCGGAATCACGCTCTGCTACCACTTTTGTAACGGCCTACGGCTGCTCCAGCAAGGTTCAAATCCTCTGGGGCCCATTCAGCAAAAGACTTCACGAGCAGACGCAGGTCGGGCCTCAATATGGCCGCGTGGAATTTCCTATCACAATAAACTAGATGGGAGCAAACTAGAAAGCAAAGGTACTTACCTGTATCAGGAGCCAACTTCGCTCCAAGGCTTGGGTAGGCAAGGGTGTGTGTAATGGTAGATAGCGAGTCGTGTACAGTGATGTGTGAATGTGTGGGGCCTTGGCAAGCATAGACGACCAGCAGCGGCCGAGTTCCAGGCTGCTCCAAAATGTGGTGATTTCCCGCAGCGTTACCCACCGTCACTTTCTTCCTTCCTCACTAGGACAGTCTATTAACTATACTTCCAGACGCCACTAACACTAAACTAAAGCGTAACACACCCCTAATACCGAAAACGTATCCGAACTATATCAAAGGCCGCACGAGCAATTAATATTGTCAAATCACTTATATACGCTATCAAATTAGAATAACCGAATTCGCGGTAAATTAGACGCGCATAACACGCAATTCAGACTTTGATCGCAGTCAATGTTAACTTCCTACCAATTTAACAGCCCGGCGTCGAATTCTAGACTTAATAAAGAAACCTTCGTCGTGGTAATATGTGCTAACAAAACCGACTCCAAAATGGAGGTTTCCCGGGTGACTTTAAAACGTGCTCTCTATAGCACTGTATATAGCAACTGTTCGACTCGACCCCGCCGCCGGTAGGAACTAACTGCCCTCGCGCGAACGTCAAACCGGTACGAATGCACCGCGCCGAGCGCCCTCTGGCGTCAATTCTTGCAATTAGCGTTTGGCTCGAACAAATACATTATCATAATTATCATAATTACAGCCCTTCACTAGTCCACTGATGAACATAGACCTTCCCCAAAGAATGATTATTATTTAAATATTAACCCAATTTCCCTTTAATAGCTCAACTACCTGCACTCGACTGCACATGAATGTGGCTGGAGTATTAGACCCAACAGACCCTAACGAATTTCTTTATACCTAGTAGTCCCTAGCTGTCCCCAATACACTAGCCTTACCATATAAATATACATAAATAAATAAGATAAGTGTGGGATGTCTGTACCATGGGACCTAAGGCAACAGACGAATAGAGAGAGGAAGTCAGGGTTTAAGTGAGGGGCCAATCAAGGAGACTCAAAAGACTGGTCAGAGGTTCTGTCGGTTAAAAGTGTCTTGGGCGCATTGAGAGCAAGACCAGGTTTTCCAGTAGTCTCGGCGTTAATAACGAAGTCGTGGTCCAGCGTTGAAAGATAATTTTATTTACATTTTTTTTACAATTTATTTAACTTAATACTAATTACAATTTTACATTATACACTAAGATTAATCAGCAATAGCTACTAGTGTGCGTGAATCTTGGTAACGCAGTCACTGGGCTGCTGCGTTGTAATATTCAGTGCTGAACAATATGAGAGAAGAGTGTTCCATACATAGCTTTTTAAATTGGCTATTTGACTAATTTTGGAAAACCATTTTAAATGATTCTTTATTACATAATAAACAACTCTACATTGATATTTCTGAGAGATCTACTGTATTAACAATAAAAATCAAAGTTTAAGTTTAATTCTCCAAAACCGCGCCAAAAACGCTCGGTGGTCCTATGACATGTTTGACGTCACACACATCTAAACAAGTCAATAAACGTAATAAAATAGTGCAGCTGAAGTGAATTTTGTTTTATTTTTCTTCAAATTTATTCAATAAATTTGTGTGTAAATGGTGTGTAGTGCCACAATGTATTAATACGACTATATTCACAGAAACTGTTTGTTTCTGTTCCAACGAATCCCAAAAGACGAAAAATTAGCTCGAAGAGACCCAAAGAGCATTTTAGCTCATACTGATGATTTAATGTGTGAAGATCTTTCAAGTAAAGTAAAATCATCTTTAATACCTCACCCCTGATATTTTCTGATCTGATAGGATGACCACAATGTGTATTATATTTTCAATGTTGTAAATAGTCTTTTATGATATTTATAGGTAGATGTTTTAAATATGACATTGTCATTAATTCCGTTATTCTAGTCTAGTTTAGTCTACTGACTTATTTTAAACTATATGTTTTTTAAATTAATATTATTAAATAAAATTGTAATAATTACTTAAACATTTTGCTATGTATATGTTTGTAAACCATTTTTTGCTCTACCGTCAAAAGTCCACTGCTAAACATAGGACTTTTTAATAGATTGCATTTGCAGTTTAAGTTATACGTGGAGATTATTACGTAGTATATTAATAGTATAGTTGTAGCACGAATGTGTCGGCTCGACCGGGGAAGGACCACGCTCTCACAGAATTTGACCGTTAAATAGCAGCTTAGTGTGCTCCTGTGTTTCATATGGTGATTGTAGATCACCGGAGACCCTTTTTACTGGAAAAGTGGTATTATATCTTAGTCTTCACGGCTGACAACTAGTGATGCAACGAATACGAATACTAATATTCGCCGAATAGTAGATATTTACCGAATATTCGTATTCGGCGAACACTGACCACGAATATTTAAAAACTTATATTTTTGTACGCAACTCTAATTACTGGCGGACTTAGATAACGCGCGTCGTCAGCGCGTAAAAAATACGACGTGTGTTTTGGCCCTTAGCCTCAACGACGGGGGACTCCCAACAATGTTTTTCACTGAAACTATGTACAGTCGCCTCGGAAAGACTTTTTTCAACGACTGGGGACATCTAGACTGAAAGAAGAAATCGCTTAAAACTAGATAATCTACAAATTTTATGTTTTTTAAATAAAAATTTGCCTATTGTAAATTTTCATTACTATTAGAACAATAGAAAATCATCATATAAATTAGTTTTTATTACCATGGCGAGATATTTGTATTCGTATTCGTATTCGCTGAATAGTAGGTTTGATATTCGGATTCGTAAAAGTAGTATTCGTTGCATCACTACTGACAACGCATCTGCATTTTAATTCGAAAACCCAGATAGATGTAGATATCTATGGGCCACAGCAACCACTTACCATCAGGTGGACTGTGTGCCCGTTCGTCACCCTTATTGTATAAAAAAAAGTTGTTATCAGGAAGATGTTGCTGTTTATCTTCTATTTTATTTCGCGCGTGCGCGGGGCTGGAGCTGGGCATCGCGGCCGTGTGTAACGATATGTATGTTGGCAGAGTGCGAGCTGGGTGTGTGGGCAGCCACGATGTGCGTGGGCGCGTGCGCGGGGCTGGAGCTGGGCATCGCGGCCGTGTGTAACGATATGTATGTTGGCAGAGTGCGAGCTGGGTGTGTGGGCGGCCACGGTGTGCGTGGGCGCGTGCGCGGGGCTGGAGCTGGGCATCGCGGCCGTGTGTAACGATATGTATGTTGGCAGAGTGCGAGCTGGGTGTGTGGGCGGCCACGGTGTGCGTGGGCGCGTGCGCGGGGCTGGAGCTGGGCATCGCGGCCGTGTGTAACGATATGTATGTTGGCAGAGTGCGAGCTGGGTGTGTGGGCGGCCACGGTGTGAGTGGGCGCGTGCGCGGGGCTGGAGCTGGGCATCGCGGCCGTGTGTAACGATATGTATGTTGGCAGAGTGCGAGCTGGGTGTGTGGGCGGCCACGGTGTGCGTGGGCGCGTGCGCGGGGCTGGAGCTGGGCATCGCGGCCGTGTGTAACGATATGTATGTTGGCAGAGTGCGAGCTGGGTGTGTGGGCGGCCACGGTGTGCGTGGGCGCGTGCGCGGGGCTGGAGCTGGGCATCGCGGCCGTGTGTAACGATATGTATGTTGGCAGAGTGCGAGCTGGGTGTGTGGGCAGCCACGGTGTGCGTGGGCGCGTGCGCGGGGCTGGAGCTGGGCATCGCGGCGGGCGCGGGCGCGGACCTGCTGCGTGCGCTCGCCCGCGCCGCGCGCCCCCTACTGCGAGCTAGCACGCACGTGAGCATAGTCGCTACACACCTGTCGGTACATCCACCACACTTCTGACACACACCCGCCACACGCCCGCTATACACACATCCGCTGCACACACAAACACACATACACACACACCGCGCCACACATACCTAGAACACACGTCCGCCAAATATCCACCACACGTCCGCCCACGAACTTAATTTGAATTGTTGGTCCAGCCTATAAAAGTTCATTGCTGAACACTACCCCATATCTTCCCGTGGGTGTCGTAAAAGGCGACAAAGGGAAACAGGCGGGAGATGGGCAGCAGCATCTTCCTGGTAACGGCAAAATACAATAAAAAACTGCGGTTGCCAACCCGCTCGCCAAGCGTGGCAACTATGGCAATATACCCCCCATGATGAAAGTTACGAAGAGACGGCCCCCAGTCCCCGGCGGCCCCGCTATTCCTGGCTATGGTGGCGACCATGGTAACGGCGGGGCAGAGGGTGCTAAGAATCTCCGGTGGAGGTTCGGTTGCCACCTACGACGACTCGACCTGGCAACATACAACGCACGCACCCTGAGGACTGACGAGAAGATTGTGGAGCTGGAAGAAGAGATAGACAAGTTACGCTGGCATATTATAGGATTATCCGAAATCCGAAGAGAGGGTGAGGACACGGTAATCCTCGAATCCGGCAACTTGCTCTATTACCGGGAGGGCGACCATCTGTCCCAAGGAGGTGTCGGATTTATCGTCCACAAGTCTCTCGTTAACAACGTTGTAAAGATTGAGAGTGTGTCGACGAGGGTTGCGTACCTTATACTTAGAATCACCAAACGATATTCGCTGAAGGTCATACAGGTTTACGCACCAACCTCGGCACACCCCGATCAGGAGGTGGAGGAAATGTATGAGGATATTTCTAGAGCCATGCATTCCTCCAAAACCCAATATACGGTGTTAATGGGAGACTTCAATGCAAAACTAGGCACAAGAGAGAACGGTGAGCTGAAAGTGGGCTAGCTGGCTAGAACGGTGAGCTGGCCGACTTCATGGAGAAAGAGGGACTCTTTATGATGAACTCTTTCTTCCAGAAGCGGCCCCACAGGAAGTGGACCTGGTCGAGCCCCGACGGTTCCACAAAAAATGAGATTGACTTCATTATGACGACCAGACGACAACTGTTCAGTGATGTCTCAGTGATCGCGAGGGTGAAAACCGGCAGCGATCACCGAATGGTTAGAGGCACACTGAACCTAAACGTTAAGTTGGAGAGGTCTCGTCTAATGAAGTCAACGCTCCGTCCCCCTCGTGCTCTAATCCAAAGTACCGAAACCTTTCAACTCGAGTTACAAAACCGTTTTCACTGCAATGAAGTGGACGATTTGAATGACAAGCTCGTGGAAACTGTCCATGCGGTCGGACCTAAGTTCTGCAAGACCCGCCGCAGAAGAACACAAAAACTCTCCGATCACACTCTTAATCTCATGGTTGTTAGACGGAAGATGAAGCTACATTCTTCAACAGATTAGACAGCATACAGGCAACTGAACAGACAGATCTCCAAATGAATGCGGCGGGACTTACGCAACTTCAATACAGCTCGTATAGAAGAAGCGATCGAGCGGAATCAAGGCTCCAAAGTCTTTGCCAGAGATCTGTCTGCCAGAAAGAGCCAACTTTCAAAGCTGAAAACAGAATGTAGCAGCATCGTTACCGGGGCACCTGAAATTTTGAGTGAAATTGAGAGGTTCTATGGGCAGCTGTACACGTCATCGTTGGAGCCACACGCAAGTGTGAGTAACGATCCAAGAGCGAGTCTTATCCGACATTATTCCGATGATATCCCGGACGTCAGTCTGAGCGAGATTAGAATGGCTCTCCAGCATCTTAAAAACGTCAAGGCCCCAGGCGAGGATGGAATTACAGCGGAGCTTCTGAAAGCGGGTGGAAAACCGGTACTTGAAGTCCTTCAGAGGCTCTTTAATTCCGTCCTCCATGGTGGCATTACACTGGAGGCGTGGAGCAGAAGTGCGGTGGTCTTGTTCTTCAAGAAAGGCGAGAACGCTCTCTTGAAGAACTACAGCTCGATTTCCCTTCTGAGTCGCGTCTACGTGTTGTTTTCGAGAGTGATTACGAATCGTCTCGCGCACAGACTTGACTTGACGACTTCCAGCCTCCCGAACAAGCCGGTTTCCGAAAAGGCTTTAGCACCATAGACCACATACATACCCTTCGGCAAATTGTACAGAAGTTCGAGGAGTACAATTTGCCACTATGTCTGGTGTATGTGGACTATGAGAAAGCCTTTGATTCCGTCGAAATTTGGGCGGTGTCGCAGTCCCTTCAGCGATGCCAAGTTGACTGTCGGTATATCGAAGTATTGAAGTGCTTGTACAGTAGGGCTACGATGGCTATCCGAGTACAGAACCAGAGTACGAAACCTATCCAATTGCAGAGAGGTGTAAGACAGGGTGACGTCATATCCCCGAAACTCTACCGCTGCATTGGAAGATGTTTTCAAGCTTCTGGACTGGAAAGGATACGGTATCAACATCAATGGCGAGTACATCACTCACCTTCGATTTGCCGACGATATAGTCCTTATGGCAGAATCGCTGGAGGACCTAAGCACTATGCTCAATGACCTCAATAGTGTTTCCCAACGGATAGGTCTTAAGATGAACATGGACAAAACAAAGATCATGTTTAATGTCCATGTCACACCTATGCCGGTATTTGTTGGGAACACTAAGCTCGAAGTTGTTGACGAGTATGTTTACCTGGGACAAATAGTCCGACTAGGTAAGTCCAACTTCGACCGAGAGTTCAATCGACGGATTCAACTCGGTTGGGCAGCGTTCGGGAAATTACGGCACATCTTCTCGTCAGGTATACCTCAAAACTTGAAAACGAGACTGTACACCCAGTGCGTGTTGCCAGTGATGACATACGGAACTGAGACGTGGTCCTTCACTGCTGGCCGGATGAGGAAGCTCAAGGTCGCTCAGCGAGCTATGGAGAGGGCTATGCTCGGAGTTTCTCTGCGTGATAAACTCAGAAATGAGGATATCCGCAGTAGAACCAGAGTGACCGACATAGCCCAACGGATTAGTAAGCTGAAGTGGCAATGGGCCGGCCATATAGCTCGAAGAACCGACAACCGATGGGGAAGAAAGGTTCTCGAGTGGCAGCCTCGTACCGTCAGGCGAAGTGTAGGGCGTCCCCCCACTAGATGGAGTGACGACCTGGTAAGATATGCAGGAAGTCGATGGATGCAGGTGGCTCAGGGCCGTGCTTTGTGGCATTCTTTGGGGGAGGCCTATGTTCAGCAGTGGACTTGTGAAGGGCTGTAATGATGATGAATATAGGTGTCCCTTATAGATTGACAAGGCAAGTCAAACAAAATAAGTCCAAATCAATAAACAAAATTGATTGTCGAGTAAAATAGCCAGGTCGTCGTTTTAACATTCCTTCAAAGTAAGCTGCCACAATTACAAACTGAAACTAAATTAACACATGCGAAGTCGAGTAAGTCGAGTGACAAACTAATTTAAATTCGTATCGGTTTTTTCAGTCTCGCAGTCTTGACTGACTTCAAACTCTGACTTTTTTTTGATATAGAATAGAATAGAATAGAATAGAATATTTTTATTCAATATACATTACATGTGTAATTCTTATTGAAAGTCATTTTTTACTTTACCACTGGTTCGAAAAAACCCTCTGTCCTGGGAAGAACCAGCAAGAAACCCAGCGGTACATTTTTTTTTTTAAATAAATTTTTTTTTAAACATATAAATATATATATACATATGATATGATAAACATATATATATATATATATATATATATATATATATATACAACGTGTCCCAAAATTCAACGATAAGCCAACACCGGAGGATAGACCTGCCCCGGACTAATCGGGTAAAAAAAGAAAAAAATAAGTTATATAAAAAAAATGAAATTCTTCAGAAATTGAGACCGTTTATGATATTTTTCACTACCATGACCACAATTTTTTAAATATTATTTTCTTTTTTTTTTTATAGGCAACCTGAATAGTACTGCTATCTACCACAATTCTTAAAAACTCCAGAATAACTCTTGTTTTATCACGAAAATTAATGAAACTTATTTTATTCCCTAAATTTTTTGAAGACTTTTACTTTTAACCAAATTTAACTTATCGTGGTGTAAAAAAAAAGTATGAACACTAGTATGGCAAGTTTTTTTAAAAATTGACGCAACTAACCAATATTCCAAAATGGTATAATACTCTAGGAAAACAAGTTATAAAATAATATGGGCCTATTATTTCTTAACAGGGGCCAAATGACGGTCGGGTGTAATAAAAGTATTATTTCTTGAAAAATGTTTAATATTTCAAAACAAATGGTACAAACAGTTTCACGTGTAATTTATTAAGTTATTAACATTATAGCAAATGTTCGAACTGTTTGCCACCAGCATTAATACATGCACGACATCGCCTTAAAAATGATCGTTTTATTTGTCTTGCATATCTTCTGCTATTAATGTAATCAGCAGCCTGAGTGATATTTCGACGAAGCTCGTCCAATGTCACAATGGGTTTTGAGTAGACCCTGTTTTTAAGACAACCCCAATAGAAGAAGTCCAGGGGGTTCAAATCGGGTGAACGGGGTGGCCATAAGATAGGACCAAGTCGCCCGATCCAACGCCCTGGATACTCTTGATTTAAATATTCTCGCACAGGACGGGCATAATGTGCTGGGCAACCATCATTTTGGAACCACATGTTTTGAAGATCACTTAAGGGCACGTCGTTTAACAATTCTTGCAAGTCATTTTGTAAAAAGTTTAAATAACTATTGCCATCTAAGTTTCCTTGTAACTCAAAGGGCCCAATTACTTTTCCATTTAATATGCCGGTCCATAGGTTAACCTTGAATTGATATTGGGATTTGTCTTGTCTCATCAAGTGTGGATTTTCATTACTCCAACTATGTAGATTGTGAAGATTTAAATACCCATCTTTCTTGCACGTTGTTTCATCCGA